ATCAACAACCTACTTAACATTTGAGACTCATAGGCTTCTCAGATCTTACATGCCCAATATTGATTTCTGATTTGCTCATTTCAAACAGCTCTTCCTCCAGTCTCCACCACTGGCAAAGATAAACAAAGCTGGACTCTAGTTAAAGTGGTAAGGATGATTTTAATTGATATACTATTAATAACAGGGAAAAGAGTCCGCTGTGAACTGAATTCAACTTTGATTTGTACAGAGGTGACTGGGCTTTTTAAAGGGAGAATAAGGGAATAGGGAAGGAGCAAGTGGGGCTCTGTGGAGTCAGGGAAGTGAAAAATTACAAAAAACAGGAAGATGTGTCGATACTAGTCCATGTGAAACCCATCTGGGTTTGCTAACTGGTGCTAAGTGAAGTTAGGCTCCTACATGCCACAGAGACTGGGGGACAGGGGCCTACCTTCAGGTGTCGGTTGGGACAAACAGTAAATTCTTTGGCAGCCTTGAGTTTTCTCAGGTAGGCACTTTAAGGAGGGCTAGGGTCATCCTAGGGATGCAGTCTTGAGCTGTCAGAAACTATGTCAGTGTTTGTTCAAGTCTTTATAGGCCAGGATTAAGGCCTAGTCCAGAGGAGGTCTCAGAAGAACCTGGCTTGAGTTTGGTCAAGGAGAAAATCTTTGTCATCATGTCATTAATGGGCAAATCCAAAACATCAGTGAATCCTGAGGGTAATACCTTAAAAATAGAAAATAATCTCACCACTGCTCACCATCTCAACTGCTACACTCTGGTAAGTCACCAGCATCTCTAAAGTACCAACAGATTGCTCACAGATCTCCTTGCTTCTACGCTAACCTCCTTCAGTCTATCATCAACACAGCTGAAAGAGTGATCCTTTAAAAATTAAGTCATATCATGTCCCACTATGGCTCCACACCCTTCAGTGGCTCCTTATCTCATCAAGAGTATAACGGAAAGTCCTTATAATGGCCTGTAAAGGCCCACATAATCTGCCCCAATGGCCCTGCTCTGTAACCACTCTTACGACTTTCCCGCTTGCGCAGTCCACACCAGACTCATTCCTCTTTGCTGTTCTTTAAACAGGTCAGCAGCCTTCTGCCTTAGGACCATAGCTCGAGTTCTACCTGGAATAGTCTTCCTACAGATAACTACATATCCAACTTGTTCACGTCCTTTAAGTCTTTGCTCAAATCTCACCTACTTAATGAGGCTACTTTGAGCCTCCCATTTAGTACTGCAACCTACTCTGTCACCTCCCTCCCCCTGCTTCCGTTTTCCTTTTGTTCCATAGCATTTATCATCTTCTAACATACTATATGTTTTATTATCTTTACTTGTTGTCTTTTCTCTCTGCTAGAATGTAAGCTCCAGAAAGACAAGGACATCCCTCCCCCGTTGGTGTATTTTTTTCCATCTAAACTAGTCCTACATTATAGGTGCTCCATAAATATTTGTTGAATAAATGAATTACCCTTTGTCAGTGAGATTTCTTAGTGATATATAGTATATAAGTGATTTCTATGAGAGCGAGAGGCTCTGGCTCTGGAACTGAAGTTTGCTGAGGAGCAGTAAGATTTTTACTCTTGTCTCTCGTGTTCCTCTCTCCCCACCCCCACCTCCATTCATATAGAGGGAAAGAGAAAATGAGGTCTACAGACAGGAAAGGGAAGCATAATCAATTCGGTGTTTAGGAAAATGTACTGGTCAATTGAATATCTAAATTTATGATAAGACCAAAGGCCTCCAAGATTCAGAAGAAATACCATAAGTGGACATAATCATGAAAGCTTTATGGTCACCAGAAAGCATGTGTCCTGTGTAAGGAAAGTAATTAGATTGGCTAATCTTAGTCAAAATCATGCATTTTCTTGTCTGTTCCTCTAGTGATTGGTGTGCCATTTTTCTACTTCTTAAACTTTCTCCTCTTATAGTGTAAATAATTTTTATTATATTTTGAAATATATTTGACTGTGGTTGGGGGTGGGGAAGGAAGGGAAAATGCATTGTTTAAGAGACCACATTCTGCAGCCAAACCGCCTGGACTCTAATCTCAATTTGGCTACTAACTATGCAACTATGGATAAGTGACATCTAACTCCCTACTTTTTGCATTTGTAAAATGGAGATAATAATAGCACATACCAGACAAAGTTGTTTTGAGGAATAACACCTCACAACATACGGTACCTGTTACATAGAATTCACCGTATAAACAGCTATTTTTATGGAATTATGGAGTATTTTCTGAAAAGAAAAATGTATAATTAAAAATTTTTTTATGTATTACATTTTCATAAAATGATATTGTTCATGCAATACTAACTGAATTATGGAGGCACATTTTCATTACTATTACTAAAAAAAACCCTCTTCATAGGCTCATTTGAGTTTTTAATTTCCTATACTAGAAAATTTATAATTTGAAATACAAGGTTTAGAGAGAGAGAAATGCTGCAGACTGTGGTATTGAAAGTTTTTTTCTGTATCTCTTATAGTAGTGTACAGGAGGTAAAACAATTTCCCTTTACCCTTCTGAGTTCTTGGCTGAGATCCCTATAATAAAAGACAGATTAACAACAGGAAAAAACCCAGAAGTTTGTTAACATGTGTTGTCGTGTATATGGGGGAGACATCCAGGGAAAAATGAGTAACTCTCAGAGGTGGCTTTGAACTCCAGCTTAAATACCATGTTCAGCTAAAGAGAAAAAAAAAGAAAGAAAGGTGTGGGGTAGACTAGCTTTGGGGAGGTTACCTGGAAAACAGGGTAAACAACTGAAAGGTTTGTTAGACAGATTTAAGTCCCTGCCTTCTCCATTAATAAGAGTCTACAGTTGTCTCAGAGTATTAATCTTTGTCCTTCCTGGCAGAGAGAGGAACAGGGACACTTTTGTAGATATAGTCTTGCTTTTAGGCAAATAGAGAGGGAGCAGAGAGGTTTTCTTGTTTCTGTTTCTCAGTTACCTGAAGTTCAAAATAATCTTCATGCCAAAGTGACAAATTTTGGGGTGGCATATTCTGCTGCCCTTCAATACGAACTTCCCTGGGTGGCTCTTTCTCTCAGAAAGAGATACATTGCTAAGAACTGTGAAGGATCTGGTATTTTATCCTACTTGCATGCTGATAAGTAGCCTGCCACAGTTTCATAGAAGGCAGGAGATTCATCCATCAGAGACAAAGGACTTTATTATTCAAGACACAACAGGTAGCATGAGCTTCAGGCTCTCATAGATTCCTCTTGTTCTGAAGTCCCACAGAGGGAAATGGAGCCTCTAGGCAGGTGCTGTACAAGCAGTAGGTTTGTATCAGAAGGAGGAACTCTGAGCTTATGAAAGTCCTGCTAGCAAACCTACCCAAACTTTGCCCTGGAGGGAGAGATTATTTTTGTTATCCTGCAACAAATATTCTCTCTGCCCTTGAGGGAAATACTATCTCTATCTTTGAAACTATCTGTGTAGAAATGCAAAAGACCCATGGAGACTTGATTCCCAATATACACAAATGCAATGCATCAGTAAGGCTATTATGAATAGAAGCACAAAAATTCTGACCAGAGGTTTAGACTAGTACTGTAAATGTAAAACTCTCAATCCTCTCTGAGTATGTTTTTGAATATGTAGTTAGTCAATTAGAATAAAACTTTGCAACAATTTGTTTTGTTTTGTACTGCTTTATCCCTTGGTGCTTTAATGAGTCAGACACTCCTTTCTCTTATCAAGTAGGCTTTACTGTCACCATTCATCTATTCATTTATGCCAATAATTTAACCCTATTGGCTGAAGTATTTCTTATCATGTTAGAGGAACTAATGCATACTTTCTCAAGAGTGGCTTGTACGTTAGCAATCTTCCTTTCTCTCCGCCTCTGCCTGATAAAATTAGGTTTCACAAAGTTCAACATGTTCCTCCTCTGTAATGTAGCTGAGCAGTAGTTATTCAGCTTTGCAAGGTTGATTTCCTCTGCAAATAGGTAAACACTTTCCCCCACATCTTTATTTGTAAGAAACATTTTAATGGTTGTCTTATTCTTCAGCGACAACTCAAAATAATATGATCCTGGTCTCTTTAAGCTCTTACCCTTTGGTTTGTGTGTGTGTTTGTGTCCTGTCTTTTTAAAGCTGAAGTTACAAAGTGCATTTGAGTTCTAGAGAAAAGCAGAACTACTTACTCAATCACTATTACTTAATAAATCAAAATAATTGAGCATTTAACTTTTCATCCAGTGATAAAACCGACCTGTTCCTCTCAGTAGATATAATCAGGAGGCACAATTTAAGAGTTTGCCCAAAGGTTGAATCATTGGCAGGGTTGCCAGATAATATACAGGACTTCCTGGATATTATTAGTGTATAAATAGACAATAATTTTTTAGTAAATCCGTGTCTACTGCTATATTTGAGACATTCTTATATTTTTAAAAAAATCATTGTTTATTTAAAATGACATTTAACTGGACATCCTGTACTTTTATTTGCTAAATCTGGCTACTCTAGACACCATTTATCTATCAAACAAATTGCAAATAACCTTTTGGTAAAATTTAGCGTCTAGTGGGTTTTATTTGGCTTAGAAAGTCCCCTTGGGGCAGAGGTCAAGGTTTCAAAGTTTTGATGATGTGACATCAACGCCATGCAAAAATAAAAGTGACTAACTCTGCAACTTTTAAATTTATACATGTGTATTTGGAAGTTCAGCTCAGAAGAGCAGAGGAGTAGGTTAAAAGAAGTCATGGACCAGGCAGTGTCAGGTTTCTAAACAGAGCAAAGAAACTTTACAGCGGAGAGCCTTTCCAAAGGGGCTGGAAGTTACCGCGGCAAAGGCTTTTTCGCGGTTGTGAAGAGAGAGCGCGAGACCTGACCGAGCCAATAGGAGCCGAGGAGGAAGGGGATGGGTACGTAAAGCCAATCAGAGACCAGATGGGTGGGACTATGCTCTGGGAAGGGGTGGCCTACAGCAGTGTGGGCGGTGAAGAGTGAGACTCAGCCAATCGGAACCGAGTAGGGCGGGGCTGAGCTCCAGGAGGGGGCGGTCTCGGGGAAGCGAAAAGTGTGGTAAGCGTGCTTTCAGCCTCACCTGCAAAAGCACCTGTTCCGGCGCCGTTCTTCCGCAGGGCGGACGCGGCCTCGAAGGGGCACGGGGAACGCTCGCGCGGCTCGTCATGGCCTACCCGGGATACGGAGGAGGGGTGAGTCCAGGCTGCTTCGCCGCGGCCTCCGCCCCCTCGGGGTGTGGCGCCCTTGCAGGCGGTGCCAACGTGCCAGTCCGCCCTCGGTCCCTGCTTCCTTCGCTGGCCTCTGGTACCCGGCGGTGCCGGCGCTCCGCTCGGTGCTAGTGCACGGGCCGGGCCGGGCCCAGCGGGGAGCCGCAGGTATTCCGGTCCCTGAGGGCCCTTTCGGCGCGTCCGTGGCCAGCCAAGGATGTGGTGTGTTTTTAAACATTTCTTTCCTGGAATGGAGAACCACGCACTCTTCTTGTTCCAGTAATCTTTTGCGGTCCACCTCCTCCCCCCTCAGTTTTGCGAGACGTCCTCTTTCGGAATTTTCTGACCACTTCTTGTTTTTTGTCCTTTCAGTTACTTATGAATAAGTTAAGATATGCTAAATGTCTTCTAATCCTTGTTGTTCTACCAAGGACAATCTGTTCTTGTAGAGTTTTGGGGTGATGGGGTGGGGAGGGTTACTCTTTCTTACATAACTGTTTATCTTCATCATCTTTGAGAGTTGAAAGTTGTCACTAGTATCCTGATGGCTTGCTTTTTCTTCTTAGAAAAGAGCCCACACCTTCAGTACTTATGTCATGATCTCCAAAGTGGGGTGAGCACATTTTGTTCACAAAATGAGCGTGCGGGCTGATCCACTGGGGGTGTGGGTAAAAAATAACGTATTTTCTATTTTTATTTCTATTTATTTATATCTAGAAAGAGAAATTGAGCTTTACTAATATATAATATAGAACTTAACACTGTCATTTGGCAGTGGTCTTCAAAGAGTTACTCAGACCCCTGGGAATACTTGGGAATTTTTTTTTTTTAAGAGAATGAGTTTCCAGACCCTCAACTTCCTCACGTACTCGCTCCTGGTCCTAAAATTGTTTGCTTGAAAACTTGCCAGAGTTCCCCCTGGGGTCTTGCACTTTACAATTTCTACCCCTCATCAGTCCTTAAACTTAATGGGGAAGTAATAAGGATAAATCCCCCTTCAAAGATTAGTCAAGGTGGCATAACCCATGGGGGTTTTAAAATTTCCGTGTCTTCTACATATTTTCATTAGGGTGAAGCTTGCTGTTAGATACGTAGTATTTTTATAACTATTGTGTGTTCTGAAGTCATAAAGATGATAGAGGGGGTGGTGAGAGTAGTAAGTTTTCATTCGAAGAATTTGGTACTACCTTACCCCTGCTTTTGTTAAAGAGTGCATGTATTTGATGGAGAGTCCTACTCTGCAAAGTAAAGACAAGACCTGTATGTGTTTTGAACATTTAAATACCCTTTTCCATTTGCTTAAACATAGCAGCTCTTTCAGCTGTTCTCACACTCATCATTAGTAGCTGGAAGGAAAAGTACCCTCGAATAGCTGAAGCATGTAGATTAGTGAGACTGATTCTTTTAAATGTAATGGAAATATTTAGAGATGCATTGGATAAAATTTACAAATAAAACATATGATTTCTTTACTCAGAGTATATTAATGAGATACTTAAAACTGTTTTATAAATCATATTACTTATAGTCAATCTGCCTCTTATTAATGTTTCCTATATTCTTTTAACAAAATATAAAATATGTTAGCTGCTAGACCTATTTGTTTTGATAGTATACTTTTATCTAATTAAGTGCATGATTCATCTCATTAGAAAATTCATTTCTGATAAATTTTGTCTTCTTTAACAATTGTTTATCAAAATTGTAATATATATATTTTTTACTTATTGTGTACTAATACAAATTATAACTCAATCTCAAGAGATTTTTTTCTCTGTTTCTCATTATGGCCACAGGAAATAAAACAAAATTTAAAATTTCAACTTATATAAATAGTTTTATTTTAGGTAAGTATGACAGGGATCAGTATTTTCAAACATGAAAATACATTTTAAGCATAAAACACGGATTAGATATTCATGGAAGTAATAGAATAAAAAATGAATTCAAAGAGTAAAAGGAAAAATGTAAAATTTCTAAATGTTGCAGAAAAGCCTTTTCATGCCTTTTTTAAAATGGATGGGAGCAGGTATCAGATCATTATAGTGTGTAGATAACAGAGGATACTTTCCAAAGAGTGATGCAAAATTTTATTTGTAAATCTTGAGATTTGTAATTATGTTGGGTATTGCATTTTTTTATAACTATTCAAACTTAAGATAAAAACTTTATATGTCAACATAAACTGTGAGGAAAGGTATATAATTTAAGAAAATTTTTTAGGGATAGGGAAGCAAAATGTTTGAAGAACCCTCGTGTAGGTGTTGGTGGTATCCTGAGGGAGGAGGTGGAGTTCTATACGTTGGCCTCTCACTTGTCTCCTGTCGGCCTATGGTGACTTATTACAGTTTATGTGTTCAGAGTTCTCTGGGGTTACAGATTATATGATCTAGTTTTAACTAACCATCACAAAATGGACAAGTAGTTTGAAAATTTCTGGGAAGAAACTAGAGATCAAAGATAATAATAAAGATTCAAAAATGTGCAAAATAGCATGAAAATGACATCATTGATACTTTTAAGTCCAAGCTTTTCTTTAGTCACATTATTAGGTAATAAAAATGATGATGTAATGATGAGTTTTAACTCATTTTAAACTATCAAGAAGACAATCTGAAATATGAATTTATAGAAACTATTTTTAGAGGTTAACCTTGTTGGCCAGAGGCCCCAGTTCCCCTTCACATCGGCCCTTCTACATGAGTCTTGGGCTTCTTCATGCTGGCTGTGTTCTAAGAGAGAGAAACAGAAGCTGCCAGTCCTCTTAAAGTCTTAAGCCTGGAACGGACATGGTGCAATTTCTACCATATTCCACCTGATGAAGCTAAAGCAGGCCCAGCCCAGATTCGAGGGAGTGGAGAAATAGTCTTTCCCTTTGCATGGGAGAAGTGGCAAAGAATCTGCAACCATCTTTAATCTGACCACTACTAGGCTCTCACATTTTTGGATTTGGGGGAGGTTAATGCTGGAAGTCAGGAAGAAAAGGTAGAAAGAAGGTTATTCCTAAGAACAGATTCTTCGTATAATACAGCTTGCCTGACTTTGGTTAAAACAAGTGTGTTGAACCCTCAAGGCACAAATGGCGATGCCACAGTAGAGCGTCCATACCCTGTCATTTGATACTACTTCAATATTAGCTTTTCACTAATATGCTTATATAAAAAGTTTTTCAGTTTGTTTTCTTATGTGAAGGTAAGGTGGCAAGAATCTTCAATAAGCCTTAAATTCTTGGATCTGTCTGTGGCCTTGATTACTCTCTGTGGCCTTGGAGGCCTTGGAACCAAAGTCTACCTCTTTGTTATTGCTACATGCTCTCAGAGCAAAAGCTGCGTTGGGGGTTTTGCTAATCTGGGTTTAGATTTGTCCTCTAAACAAAGGTTTTGACCACCCTCTTGAGCCCATTTCCTGGTGCTCCAGTATTCCTCCATACCTTTGCCCTTACCTGCTCCAAAGGCTCCTGCCTTTCCTCCTACCCTCCCTAATACTTTGAATTCTTTTCTCTTTTTGCCTTCTGGCAATTTCTGCTCATCCTTCAAGGATGCGGGTCAGGATGATTTTTGTTCAGATTGGAATAATGAACTTTCTAACATTCTTGATACTTTTTCCTCTTCCTGACTCATAAAAATACTGAGTAAAATGCCTTTCTAAGGTATTAAAAATGTATACCAAAAGTGAAAAGAAGAGAGAAACCAGAACTCTAGGAGGAACAAACAATATGTAGCCTCTGGGGTCAGACTGTCTGTATTTGAATCATCATTTGCTTTTTACTCGTTATTTGACCTTAACCAATTCAGGAAACTTCTTAAAGTTTCAGGTCCTCAGCTGCTAAAAGGCCATAATACTTTTACCTCATAGAGTTGTTGGAAAATCAAATTATATCATAGATGGAAAGTACTCAGAACAGTACCTGGGATATGAAAAGCTCTCAATAAATAGTAGCTTTGTGTTTTTGTTGGTATTCTTGTGTTTGTTATTCTTAATAGTTTTTAAGAGGACTGTTGTTGGAATTATCACTTTATTGATCTGTTCATTGGGGTCTTGCTTTTTTAAGAATATTTTCTGGTAGCGAGAGTGTTTCAGCCCTATGCAGCTTCCCATGATTAGGTCACAATTGCATTGTGTTTACCATGTATTCTTCAAAGTATGTGTCTTGAGATTTACTTCTACTTGGTTTTACTATAGGTGAAATTTTCTTGTATTTTTTACTTTTGGTTTATTTCAGTGATGATGATGGTAAACACTTTTTAAAATTGTGCCTCATGTTCATCTGTTAGACTAAGTTCTGAGAGGCCAGAGACTTCTTTTTTCTTTAAAGTTCTTTTAATGCTGGATAACATGTTAATGGACTGAATTATGTCCTAATGGAGGATGTCTACCATTTTGTAGCTAACAGCTTTTGTGATAGTGAATCTGGAAGCTTTCGGTAACACTATTCTTGCTTCTCAAAGGCCTTCTCATAAATATTTTCTTTTAAAGTAACTTTAGTGGAAGATAGGTAATATTTGTATTAATAACTTTCTCCTTTTTCACTCTTATAGTTTGGAAATTTTAGTGGTCAGATGCCAGGAATGCAGATGCAAATGGGACAGCCAGTGCCAGGAACAGGGCCAAACATGCTCCCTGGTGGATATTCTGGGTACCCAGCATATTCAGACAGTTATTCCTCAGCGGGAGACCCCATGTGGACTTACTTCACTGCTGTTGCTGGACAGGTGAGATGCTAAGTGGATTGCACAAAGACCAGTTTACAAAATGATTGCTATTTAAAAGAAATGTGAACTCTTTTCCTTAATATATCATTTTAAATGTATATGAAATTTGTGTTTTAAACTAGACTGCTTTTCTTCCTGAGATCAGAGATGAGGGTAGTCATAGTTATTTCATTTTTAAAAGTCTGTTGGTACAATGCTTGACACAAACTAAAAGAGGAAACAGGGTGATGCATGGAGACTAAGCCAGAGAGGATTTGAACACAGATCTGCCTGTAAATCTCCTTACAGAAGCTGGGCCAGAGTATCAGAAAGGAGACTTGTAAGTTGTGAGTGGTTCTGGGAGAGTCTTGATGGTAAAGCAGATCAGGAAAAGGTAAAGAAGACAGGCCAGAATGGAGGTCCAGACTAATGAGCAGAGACAGACATTCAGACTTAAGCCCTAGTCACAGTCCATATCTTCTTTTATACTGGTCAAGAAAAATATATTGAATAGTTAGAATTTTGTAGAACTGTGATAACATTTTTCCTGCATTATTCATTCACTTAAGTGTTTACTAGATCTCATATGCTTTACTAGAAATAGAGGATATTTTCTTAACATACTTTTCAACTTTGCTTTCTCTATAAACTTTGTTCTTCCTATACAAAAGAACCTATATACTCTTCAAGGTTCCTTCTTCTGTGTCTCTGGAAATATAGAATTTAGAGAAAGGTCCTCTGTGCACTAAGCAGACTTCTGTGTGAAGTGTTACAGAGGAAGCTCATACTTGAACAGAAATTATCACCAGACCACATTGAATTAATTTCCCCTCCTTTAATTGGGTTGGGCTAGATTTTTAGTAAATTCAAATTTCTCTTTTCTAGAAAGTTTTAAGTTTGAGCTTGTTGTTTTCACAATGCATTATTTTGATAAATGAGAAAAAATTGATGAGCCTTAGTAATTCTCATTAATTTTGTCCTCAGATAGAACACCATTTTCCTACTTGAGAAAAGTTAAAGGAAAAAATAATTTGTAACCATGTTATCTTTGGTGTACTAGAAGGTGGAAGATGTTTTTTAAGTTAAAAAACAGAAAAATCATTTTCTACCTTTGTTTCTATTCTTCTGTTTTAATTATTTGTAAAGGATTGCCTTTTAAAATTTACTTTCTGATAATTGACAACGACCAGGCATTTCTGTCTTCATTTCACTGAGATATTATTGACAGTGGCAGCTGTGAACTTCATTCACTGGGGTTTTTTTTGTTTTTTTACCTGAAAATTTCTTCTTAGGTCATGTTAGAAGTGTATAATTTTTAGTCTTGAAATATAATAATGATTTGATATAATAGGGAAGTAGGTAATTGTTGATTAAATAAAAATTCCTTCTAAAGTCTTTATCATTGGAGGAGAAATTTCTAACCCAGCTCCCAATCTAAAAATATGGCTAATTTTTTTAAAGTATGATTTTCTAACTACAGAATTTAAAATTTTGTAAGCAAATTTCCAAAAATATGCATGACAGAGAAAAGGGCACTAAGCTACTTTGTGTAGGAAATACTACATGGATGGTCCATTAAGAAGAATGCTTCTCAGTATTTTTTAATTCCTGTGTTAGAACTGCTGGAATTTTTGTTATAAGGAGTTCCTTGCTAAAGATCCATAGACCATGAATGTTTATAATACTTCTTAGAAGTAGTTTGTAAAAGTTTTTTTTGTTTCTTAGGTCTCTTACAAAGTACCTTTTTTGGGGGGCAAGTGAGGAAGATTGACCCTGGGCCAACAACTGTTGCCAGTCTTCCTCTTTTTGCTTGAGGGATATTCGCCCTGAGCTGACATCTGTGCCAGTCTTCCTCTATTTTGTACGTGGGACACTGCCACAGCATGGCTCGATGAGTGGTGTGTAGGTCTCCCTAGGATCTGAACCTGTGAACCCCAGGCCACCAAAGCAGAGTGCACGAACTTAACCACTACACCACTGGGCCAGCCTCACAAAGTACATATTTTAAATTTGCTTCCTTGATCCTTTCTCAGAGCTCTTGTTTTGCATTTGTGACAATGTATGTGATACTTCCAGGTAAATTACTCTGTATTTTTTAGAAAATAGAATGAGGTACTGAATCATAATGAGAATATTCAACCTGTTTTGCTTCTCTTGTGATTTCTTGTTTGCATTAAAAACTTTTATTTTCCATAAGTTCAAATAAGAATGTTTGGTCAGTAATCAGAAGAATAGCAACGAAATGTAGGAGGACTCTAAAATTTTGCTGGGGGTAATGGTGGTGGTGAAAAAAATATTTGTCCTTCCACTTAAAGTTTCACTATCCTGTAGAAATAATCTGCCCCAAAAGGGGCACAAGGGGAAAGTTTTTGAGACTTTTCAGAACACATTTGAAGCATTTTTCTAACTATTTTAAGTAGAAGTACAATGATTCTCACAAGATATTATTTTGAGCTATTATAGGACAGAGTGATTATGCTATTTTTCAGAAGCAGAGAAAATAAATTATATTTGAAATGCTTAAAAAATTAGTAGAATGTAATTTGATGAAAAAATTGTTCATGTTGTATGATGTTCTTTGCTGTTAATATTTCTGTAATTATATAGTTGATAATAGAATAATGTTTTGAAGAATGCATATTTATATAACTGCGCGGTAAATCAGTCTATAATTATTTTTTAACAGGATGGTGAAGTGGATGCTGAAGAACTCCAGAAATGTTTGACACAGTCTGGAATCACTGGAACTTATTCTCGTGAGATCTCCCCCACCCCATTAAAATTGGAATAGGAATTAATTTTCAGACTTTTTTGTCCCTGTACTTAAAATATTTAAAAAAAAATTTTTATCACAGATATATATACGCGTAGTTGAAAAAGTCACATAATTCTCCAAAGCTTGTAATGAAAATAACTATTCATTGTCCATTTCTATCTCTCCAATGTTAACCACTCATATTTATTTCTTCTTCCTTTCTTTTCCCTTCCCCCAAGGAAAAACAGTTGCTTCTGTCCAGAAGCTCATTTTTTTCTTGCTTGGTCGATTGCCATACACTACCAGATGATTTATCTATATCCAGTCTCATCCTTCTATAGTTTGTTCATTGTAAACTAATGCTCTGAAATGGACATTTTAGAATTGCCCCTCTGCTCCTGAAAATCCTTCAGTGACTTCAGTTAGGGTGGCATTCAAGACTTTCATGATCTGGTCTTCATCTGCCTTTCTGATGTCATCCTATGCCACTGCTTCACATAAATCCCAAGCTTGAACTAAATCTCTAACTCTTTCAAGTTTTGTAATCACAGTATATGCCAAACTTCTACTTAAACCCAACTTGTCATTTATGTTAGGAAGACCAGAGCTGTTTTCCCCATGACAATAATTTTCACTTATTTTATAATTGCTTATTTAATTACCTAAATCCCTGTGCTAGATGTGAATAGTTTGAGGGTAGTAATTTTTACTTTAGCTTTTTCTTTTTTACTATGGATGCCTAACATTTCATCAAAGTTTGTTGATGGAGTAATTGTGTGTTTTTGGCAATTTTTAAATATTTCGAAAATAGAAATTATCATAATTTTACATAAATAAAATTGGGCAAGACACCAATTGGAATAATAAATATGTTTTATAGCCTTCAGTTTGGAAACCTGCAGAATTATGATTGCCATGTTGGATGTATCCTTGAATAAAAATAGAAAATACTAGAATATAGAATAATTGCTTCTGAATATTAAGGCAATTGTTGGTTATAAATGACCATAGTAAGTCAGAGAGTTTAAAAATACTTTGTAAGATCCTGTTTAAATTCATGCTTTTCCTTCTTTTACACAGAAATCTATTCATATGCTAAATTTGACTAACTCTTACGAAAGCATCCTAACAATTTTTTAGTCAGTACGTTGGAGTTTGGGGTCAGATGAATTCTCTTTGGTATCAGAATTTATTTTTCTTAATAAAACTATCAGAGAGATTACACAGGAAAGATGGGATTTAATGAATTCAAAGAACTTTGGGCAGCTCTTAATGCCTGGAAGCAAAACTTCATAACTATTGATCAAGATCAGAGTGGCACAGTAGAGCATCATGAATTGAATCAAGCTATTGCTGCTATGGGTAAGAATATTAACATTCTTTAGAATCTGTCCAGGTTGTCTTTGTTCTTAGATCAGATGAATCTTAATTGTTGCAATTTGCTAGGTGATAAAGAGAGAGATTATTTGATCCGCAGTTACCTAGTTTGATTTCAGGGTTGTAGATAAATTTTGACTTTAGACCTTTAACAAAACCATTTATCTATGACTTTTTCAAAAGATGGTCATTCATGCATTCTGGTTGATAAAATAATTTCTGAATTTTCTCTGTTGAGTATATTAAATTTATTCCTCTAATTGTTAGTACTCACTTAGCATTTACGTTGTGTTCTTTGCTGACTTGGTAAGATCTTTAATTTGACAACAAAGGCTTATCTCAGTCAATTACAGGTCTCCATATCGTAGTCTAGCTTTTCAGCAGTAAAAACCATGTTTTTTGTTTTTCTTCTTTTTCTTGTGTAGTATAGAACACACACTAGAGATAAAAATATCCCAAAATGGGAAGTCTGCATTTTAGAATATGTTAAAAGAATGTAACTTTTTAATCAAATCTCTGGTAAGCTAAGATTCTCAGTCTACTTTCTTTCAAAAAGTGCTAATATGCAGTGGTATTTAATTTGCTTAGAGTTAATGCAGTTGTAAGTAGTCCTTTTAATTGTGTTTACCCTTGTCATTTTAATTTATACTCATTTCTAAACAAAATACATTTGTAAGAAAATTAACTTTTTGAAGTTAAAATCTGAACCCAATGCAAATTATCTCAAATTCTAATTTAAAGAAGTGACAACCAGTGATTTGTTTTATAAGTGGATATTTTAATTTAACAGATGGTGATTTTAGGGACAATCCTGGCCGTATAAAGAGGCTTAATACCCAGTGGTTTAAACTTGGTCTTTAATTCAGCATAACGTTAGAAAATTAATATAACCTTTTGCAAAATGGAAAGCCACCAAAGAGTTCACATAGGCAGTCGAGGGTAACAAAGAGGTATTCTGGATTATTCAAATTTAAGATCTTCAGATATGTTTAAAATTATTCATATTATTTTGCTTAGAATGCTATGGGAAATCTTAAGAATTTTATCAGTACCACATCCAGATCATACCCCTCTAATGGGAAGTTCAAAATGCATTGTATATAATTATATTAGTTTGCATGTTTTACTTCTATTAATTTATGCCTTTCCTTTCACCTAGTTTCCTGGATTACATTTTATTATAGCTACACATAGAATTTTCCTATTGCGTTTATTTTTATTGCTTTCCCCTTTGAATGAATTAGTGTCTTTTGTGTAGATCTACTAATCTGGTAATATATGAAGACAATACTTCTGGGCCAGCATTCTTCACAGTAAAGTGTACATGTGTCATTAAATTCACAGGACCATCTATAGGGGCGCAGAAAGTAGAATATATTAATTTATATTTCTAATTATTTTTATTTTATTTTTTAAATTTCAGTTTTATATATTTTTAAAATGTAAATAATCAGACGGTAATGCATGTATAGAATTTAAAATTAAATTAATATGCCTGTTATGGGAGTGAATGATCCAAAACATTTTACTGATAAGAGTATGTAGTCAAAAACTTTTGGAATCACAGGTCTAAACAACAAAGAACCGAAAAGATAGTGAAAAGTCTGTGGTTAAGATGAAAGTCTGTGAAGAAACAGAAGAGGGGTTGTGGGACAGAAAGGAATAACATTTTCATATTTCTTCTCCTTCTGAATAACCATGTTGATCCTCAGATTTTCTTTGGCCACAAAAGATACATATAAGTAATATATTCAGTGGGAATTATAGTATTTGAATGATAGCAAAGATCACTGGTAATCTTTGTTTTGATATTCTTTAAAGAACTGTAACATTACAGAATTATTGCGTACAGGTGTTCAAAAGATACAAATTTCCCATATAAAATAAGTAAGTCATGGGGATATAACATACGGCATGGTGATTATAGTTAATAATACTGTATTGCATATTTCTAAGTTGCTAAGAGAGATTTTAAAAGTTCCCATCACAAGAAAAAATATTTTTGTAACTGTATGGTGATGGGTGTTGACTTATTATGGTGATCATTTGACAGTCTGATCATTTTGCCAGTGGATCATTTGGATCAATATAAATTTTCTAATCATTATGCTGTGAAACTCATAATGTTAGATGTCAATTATACCTCAATAAAAAACTAAAAATAAATAAAGCACCTGAAGAGTAAAAAATAAATAAACTTTCAGAATTGAAATATTGAAGCACTTAAAACTATGAAATACCCTAGACATTATTTCAAAATCAAAATATATTTTAAAGACACAGAAAGATAATTATTTTCTTTTCCTTAGCTTCGACTTTATCACAAAGATAGAATTGTGATATTTATTTACCACTTAACTGTTAGTAATGAAGCCTCTGTCTGATCCATTTCATTATGAACGTTTTGTTTCTAATATATATTTTTATGGAATGTATCTTGAAAGTTATTTTATGACTATTAAGAAGCATGCAATGTTTGTTCTGGTGGTCTTACGGCATTTGGTTTTAGAAATTTTAATTTTATCAATCCCTTTTTTTAGGTTATAGATTGAGTCCTCAAACATTAACTGCTATTGTTAGACGTTATAGCAAGAATGGCAGAATCTTCTTTGATGATTATATTGCTTGCTGTGTGAAGCTTCGAGCATTGACAGGTATTGACCATTTAAAAATGGGTACAGTATTAAGTAGCTGTTTTTCTTGAGTAGTATCTGTCATTTTCTCCAGTAAGTTTATGATATCATGTGTTTCTCTCCTTTATTCACTATTAAATCTAGTCAGAGTTTTAAGGCTTTAAAAATTTAGGAATATAAATACTGAAAAATTGTTGTAGCTCTGTTTTGGAAAGTTTTCTTCATGTTTCAGTTGCCTTGGATATAAAATCACTTAAAATTGAATTGAGTATGAAATTATTCATCCTTTTAGTTCCTAGGGACACCAAGTATTTGAAACTATAGATTTTAAATTATAATAAAAAAGTAATTTTTTTGTTTAAAGATTTCTTTAGGAGAAGAGACCACTTGCAACAAGGGGTTGTGAATTTCATATATGATGATGTAAGTATCCTGAATAACACTTTAGATATTTATGCTGTGTTCTAGATGTGTTCATAGTTACCAGAAATTTAAGTGATCCCTGGTATCAATACTGGGAATAATATATTTTATAGACCATGTTCTTTTTCTGTATTTTTCAACTGAATGTAAATATAAGAATCAATATTGGTACAAGTACCAATGTGAGTTTATATTAAACATAAAAATGCTTTTAAATTTTATAACAGGCTTTTGGCAGTTTATCTTCCAAATAATTTTTAAAGGCAAAGCTACCATTATTTTTATCAGGAGTAGTTTACTCGTGGTGATCTTTTTTCTAATAGAGATAGGAAATTTTTCTGTGATAGATTATGAAGCTGTTCATTTCTCATTTCAAAGTTTGTTTTAACGTGACTCCAGTTGGGTTTTTTTTAACTGAAGCTATAGGAAACTTATATTTCACATGTGCTTCGATGTTTCAGGGTTTTTGTTTAGTTTGGTTGTGTTTTTCTTATGTGTAAGTTATAGGGTCAACATTACTAGTATATAGTGGTTTGAATTATAAGCCTTGGAAACTCAAAGTATTTTCTCTTGTGAAAGTGCTTTTATGGAATAGAATTAATCAAAAACAAAAACCAGGGGCCAGCCCCGTGGCCGAGTGGTTAAGTTTGCACGCTCTGCTTCTGTGGCCTGGGGCACCACTCGTCAGGCCATGCTGAGGCGGTGTCCCACATAGCACACCCAGAGGTGCTCACAACTAGAATATACAACTATGTACTGAGGGGCTTTGGGGAGGAGAAAAAAAAAAAGATTGGCAACAGTTGTTAGCTCAGGGCCAATCTTTTTTCTAAAAAAAATTAACATTTTATTGTTACAAGCTGATGATTTTGCTTATGTATTAGTTTTTGCAGGGCACTATGGCAATTTGAATATTTAGAATTTGAAAGGTGAAGAAATACTGTGAATTTTTCTGCTTGGAAGAGACAAACTGGATCACTTTGAATTAACACTTTTGGAGCTTTTCCATATTCCTACTTGTTAAATCTTTTTCCTTTCTATGTGTTTTTGCTTTAGCACACAGTTCAAAGCAATAAAAGAGATGTTTTTGTATTTGGGATATTATTGCTTTTGGAAAAGTTATCACTCTACAGCTATCTGCATAATGTCATAAAATATTGGTATGATTAATTTATATAAATATCTCTTAGCCTTAATTTTTAATAATATACACCTAGAGGAATGTACTTACGAGATAGATTATATAAGAAGCCAAATGATCAAAGCCTAGATAAAACTAATTTATACTTATCTGAAAGTTACAAATCATGCATTGAAATTTTGTTTGTAGTTGTTGGTGTTTCAGGGTGAACTAGAAGGAGAATCCTGGATTTTGTGCCATATTCGTAATAGGGTTTGTTCTTTGATCACATAATCAGAGAACAGAATCTTCATGGGTCTTTGTGTTGAAGAAAATTGTAGTTCCTAAAATTTTATTTTAAATTGCCTTAGGTGGACCATAAAATAATCAATAATGAAATAAGACTATAGGAGGCAATATCTTTTCTTTTTTGCATTTTATATTTTTCTTCAATATGTTTTGTTGTCTCCTATGGAAAAAAGGTTCTTAATAAACAACTTTTCTCTCTGCACTTTATTTTGTTAGTGAAGACATAGAAAACCTGAAATGGCATCTTTCTCTAAATCTAGATTTTTCTGGAAATGACAAATTTTTAATGAAAAGTCAACATTTAAATTTGTTCTGTTAAGCTGCATTGTTGTGTATACATAATGCCAACTGTTTACAAAGTTAAAAAAAAGTAGATAATCTACCACTCTGTTTAAATTTTCAGAAATTACAAATTTGTCTTTCTTGACAACATTAGCTGGTGGTTTTGGCATTAGTAAACCAGTAAGTCTTTTAAAATTCCTTTGAGCACATCTGTGTAATGTGGGGTACTGCACACGGTAGGCACCATGGTGACATTTCTGAGTGATATTGCTATGGAAATTGCAAAGTGGAGTCACCAGATCCTTAGCATTTAAAATCCCTAGTTATAAGCTGTTATAATTAATCCAGCCCCTTTCTTGGGAGACACCCTAAGTTTTTCTTAATGAAGATTTAATAAACCACATATTTTTCTTATACTGTAACTGAATATCTTCTAGCTTAAAGGTGAATACAAATTGACATAATTTTAGTATGGCTGATGACCAAATTAATCTATAATTTTTATAAAACTCTGCATTTCTTAAAGAATGAATGGCACTGTCCTGGAAAGGGAAGTTCCCCCTTCTACCCTTCTTGTGTTCTTACGGCTAGACTAATAGTAAAATTTACACAAGACCAGATTAACAGGAGAAAAACCCCGTTTAATTACGTGTGCACGGGAGAGTTATGAAAATGATGCTTGGTGAGTGAACGAAGCAGGCAGTGTGTATATCTTTTACACAAAAACCAATAAATTTGTGAGGAATTGACAGGATAAAGAAACTTAGGTTTGAGGTATGTGATTAGTGAGGAAGTTAAACAGAGTTTAGGCTGCAGACAGTGAATTAACAAGGTTTGTTTCTGCAGGCCTCTGAGCCCTGTATCCCCCAGCTCTGGCGATAAGGATGTAGGGAGAGTGCCTTTCACCTGGGAGATTGATTTCCTGCTTTCAGAGAGACAAGGGAGGGTCCCAGTGCTCTTCCTGTACTGGTTGCTTCTCGAGCGACTTGAATTCAAAATAATACGCCATTGTGGAATATTTTGAGGCCGCCTGTCCTGGGCCCCAACAGCAGTATCTTGAAGAAAACTTTTTATAAACTTACGGAATTTTAAATCAACCTTCACTTTAAAAAATCCTGGAAAGGAAGTAATGTATAGTCATTTTGACATTGATGATTTTATATAATTAGCCGTCAAATTCATTTGGTCACTTTTATAAAAATATGTGAATAAATAATTCATATAACTTTGTCCTCTGGCTGTTAATTTCTTTTCAGGAACATATATTTGATAATGTGAGAGGATGTTAACTGAGCCATAAAAAATACAGAATTCTGATTAGAAGTGCTGTAGGCAAAAGCTAATGTAAACACACTGTGTATCGTTTACGTTGAATAATGGTGATAATGTGACACAGCAGCCTGGAGTCAACCTCCAGCTTAAAGCCAGTCCAGCTACTGTATTATTCTGAGGTCAGTTATAATTTTTCTTACTAAGAGACTTGTGGTTGAGGTAAAACTTGAAAAATGGCATATGGTATTATTCATATAAGTTTCTGCCAAATAACACTTTGTATTAGAACTCTTTGCACAATTCTCTAACTCATCCTTTTCCAAAGATGTTCCTGTGACTTTTGGTCATAGGAGATCTGTGAAAAAGGAGTTTGCATGTCCAAACATATCTGGGAAATTCCCATGCTCCTCAGGGAGCTGGATAAAGCCTAAGGTACATAAAATCCTATTTAATTTTACTTGACCGAGTTTTTTATGAACTTTTTTGACTACAGAACCCCTTTCCCTAGCAAAACTAATGTTCTGTGCCAATCCAACTTAATTGTCAGACGATTCTTTTGCACTTTACATTAAATAAATAATCTTATAAACACCTTAGGCATACGCAATATTTTACTGGGATTTTTGTACTGAAATGCAATTCACTTTTTTGATGCTTTTAAGATAATTGATGTAACAAGCATCCATTACTAAAGTAAAAATTAAATCGTTTTATGATGGACATGACTGGAATATGAATGGAGTATGGTAGCTTGTACTGGTTAACTCACACCCAGTTTTCTTATGATGATGTAAATTATTGAATAATGTACACTTCAATGTCTAAGTGCTTTTATTTATACAGTAAACGTTTCCATGTCATTTTGAGATTTTTTTAATAAACATTCAAATAGCTTGCTGTGAAGTTTTGTATCATACAAAATCTGTTACATATATATTATGAGATGCTTCAGTTCAAATAACAGTGCAATAATTCATCTCTGCCAAAAACACTGCCAAATGATTAAATGCCAGCTATTGCAGCTCCATTTCGAGTGGCAGTTTACACATTGTAAATGACATTAAGGGGAAATCAATACTATTAGAATCTTAATTTGGTCCACTTTGAATGTAATTTCAAGGACTGTGCTCATTTTATCTATTTAAGCATGCATGCAGAAACAAAAAATAATAAAAAAGGTCAAGTGATATGTTTATTTCCAGAAAAGACATTTACCTGGAAGAAAGTAGAATTTATTAATGTAATTTAAAGGCTGTTGAATTAAAAAAAATAATTTGTAATTATTTAAGTTAAATATACAAATCAAGTTCGCTTGTAATTTTATGGCATTACTAAACTGGACAAACAAAATAAATACTATTTGTCAAAAATATGCTTTTCTTTGTCCTTTATGTTTGACAAACTTATAGATGATATGTTTTCTATTTCTTTATAGCAGTTTTCTGGGAAATTAATAGGAATAAATTTGCAAAAATATCGTAAATCTAGTGAGTAAAATCCAAGACTTCTTTCAGGTTAGCATCTTTTTCTTTTCTCTTACATTTTAAAATGCAACCATGAGTCTTCTATTACTTTGAATATCAAAAGATCACAACTTTTTTGGTCTTAATTCAATGAAATTTATGTAGTGAATCTTAAGCATTTTGACATAAATAGACAATGCTAAGGTATCATCTAAGAGCATAGCTAGACTTCATAGTAATATTAGATGATACCAAGAAAAAATAAAAATTTAGAACTTCTGTTTTTAACGTGATGAATGCTGACAGGAATTTAAGTGAATACTGTTCAGATAGTTTGTAGTCTAGAATAAGGTCATAACATTACATATGTCCATTTATTAAATTAAAAATCTCCTATGCTTTAGAATACTGAACACAAAACTACTTTCTAGCAAAACACTGGGAAACTTATGAAAAGTTTCTGTCTGACTCACTGTCAGCTCATTTGAATGCTGGGAAATTTGTGCTTTTAATTGTTTCTTGCCATGTCTTTTTCTACTTGTTTTAAAAAACATATTTTACTGGCATATAAAGAAAAGATCCTTATATTATTTAACATTCCTTTTACCCAAGCAGCTTGGTAATATGCAGCTTTGTGTTTTATTTTGCGAGCATTCAAAACTCAAGTGTGCTTCTGTACGTCTGAATATATAGCGAGTGGCCTCTGGCAGCACTTCTATGTTACTGTGCTGTGCTGTACAGTCGGGAAATGAGTAGGGTCCTTGCCTGTGTGTTACTTATGTTTTCAGGTATGCCCCTTCTGCAGCATCAGAGATGGTGGCAATTTGGGAAGCTTACAGAGATTGAGAAGAATTGGGCTAGGTCTTCATTTAATAACTATATTCAGAGGCAAGTATGCCAGGAATTAGTACATTCTTTTGATATGTGTGTGTATGGGGGGAGGGGGTGGAGGAGGGCCCCAGCCCTTTCCCCTAAGCATAAAAATATAAATATGTCCTTTAAAGTTACATGCATACAGTCATTTGCAGTTTGGTTCACTGTATTTAATCACATTTTTTCTTGCTATGATCACTGAAATTTCAAAGGATAACCTGAACCGCGCCAGTTTGAATGCTCTAGAAAAAAACTAAAAACCATAGTCTTTTGAAAATTCTAGGCCATTTGAAATGATTTTAGGATTAACTGAACATTTGGATGCATATTTAATTTTCCAAAGCTATCTAAATGCATTACCCCCAAATTTGTCTTAGGGCAAGAGACTTTAAGTTTTTAAATATTTACCTTTTTCACACTTTGATTCTCATTTTCTCATTGCCTCACTTACAGCTATCAATACAGTGCTTTCTGCTAATTTGTATTTGCTTTGATTTTTCATTTATCAAAAGGGAAATATTCTCTTGGTTTTTTAAACCTTTAAACCGTTAAAAATGAATGCTGGAGAATCTAAACCACCAAACAGACTAAGCGGCCCCTACCTTAGAACATGCCACATTACAACCAACAAATTTTTATTTAAAAGTTGTCTTTGAAGATAGTTTGATTTTTTTTCTTAAATAATAAATGAGTGATTCTAGGGGAGAAATTAAGAATGTATGAAACTTAGTGAAATGAAAATAATGTTATCCAGATATTTTCATTCTTGATGGGAAAAAATGAATCAAGCATACATTATAAAAAATTTGTTTGATGTGTAAGTTAAAACCTGTTTAGCCATCAGAAATTTTAAGTAATCAAACAATAAATATTTTAATTAATTACTATTGTGTTCTTGACAGGCAATAATAAAAAGTGAAATGTTTTTATGTTTCTTTAATTTTAGATTTAATGCTTTTTCCCACTCAGTCCAGCTTGCTAGCGTCCCAATGGAACTGAGTAAAACTGCAGTAGCACTGTGACAATTGTGTGATTTCATGAAATACATCAGCACCACCATGCCTGTATCTAGTTCTGTACCTAGTAAAATGTTGGAAATAATTAGCTTCTCTAATAAAAGTATCCTAACTAGCTAATGAGATTTACTTTCTTTTTCCCCAAAATAATTTCTTTTACAAATTCTTGAATTTTCATGTATAAATAGATCAGAAATTATATGCTTCATTCTTAAATTATGTATATATACTATATTTTCAATACAACTTGTACACTTGTAGCTACCAAAAATTTGCAACCATTTTTACATGAAATTTACATTTTCCTTATTTACAGTTATTCGTAGGTTATTGCAAAACTAGTTGTGCAAGTAGATTACACTGTCAATACCGCATACCAATTTTTGAAGAAAATATTTGCTAAAAAATAAATATCTCTGCACAGAGTATTTTAAAAGCATCATGATTTCATGCTACATTATGTGCCTAAAGACTAGGAAAAAGTATGTGTTTTGGTAGATTGTTTCATTACTTTTAAAGCATTCCAGGGTACTTACTACTTAACCAATGTGAGTGAGCTTCTTTATATCAGATGACTGACATTTTCAAGTAGTTACACACATTATTTTTCGAAATGTATTATTCTTTAACTGGCAAACATTCATATACATTTTCCAATCAAAATTACAGAATGCAGATTCCAGCTAAAAAGAGGTAATGTTCTTTAGTTAAAATCAGTAAGTGACTAGGAGATAAAAACTAGGGATTTCTCAATATTTGTATATTTCTCTAATATTTGGAAAAAGGGTGCCATATAATTTCAATGCTATTGTAATTGTAGGGGCATTTTGATGAGACTATGTGGAGGAATTAATTATAAGATTAATGATCCTTGAATTTTACTCCTAAATAAGGATGATGGAATGGTGTGGAATATTCTTATATGCTCAAACACTATGATGTCGGTATGCAAAAAATACAGTTTAAATGCTAATAGTTGTGATTATTTTCAAGTTAAAAACAATAAAATACACACAGAGGAAGTATAAAGAATATAGGTTAAATGTATAGTGCTTTAAAACCACAAGTGTACTAACTTATTTTGTGTCTCTCGAAAAAACAAATTAACTAATGGAAGTCACAGATGTCATGATTGCAATTTAGGAATTCATCTAAGCTTTTCAAAAATAACCGTGTTAGTATTGCCACTTCTTGTAAAAATATTGGGAGCATTTCTGTAATATTTTTTTGCTATTCTCATTTAAAAGTTTGATTATGATTGGTAGAACAATGAAATTGGTCAATTGATTATATGGTTCTGAGTTCTTAGCATTGCATTTCTATAGATGTTTTATTCTTCTGTTCATAGTAATAATGTTAATTTTAAATAACTTCTTGTTATCATCTCTCTCAACCTCCACTTAATAGTTTATATAAATAAGCCTTGTGATAATGTCTTTTCATGCTGTCAGCTATTAATAATTCATGTCTTCCTGTGAATTTTTCTGTATCGCATATTCTTAAAGCAAAGTATATTTATATCACAAGAGCATGTAATGAATTATTCTAAGCTTGGTCACTGATCCATCACAATATACTTTATAAAGCATTTTAAAACATGACCCTTTTAGTTTTTCAAAGGTTAACATCACTTCATGCTAAGTAGAACCACAAGAAAACAGCTTTGAGAACCTTGAGAAGTGAGGGGGCTGGGAGAAGGTGTTACATACCTAGAAAACAATTGCGATGCAGATGTGTAATTTTATGGATGTTGGACAAAGACAATATTTGACAAATATTGGAATGCTATAGCAGAAGAAGCTTCCCTAACACTGGCCTTCTACTCTAAGCAAATGGATCTTTGAGAGTTGTGTGAGAATCACTTCACAGATTTTTGTCACAGAGTGTAAATGGGGTCAGTGTTGGGTAGGGGAAAGAAGAACAGAAGGTTTTTTGAAGACGTAGGTAGGGCTTCCGCACTTCCACCGTAATACCCCCACCTCTGGTGAGGATGCACAAGTCACATGATGATCTTACAGTTTTCTGGTGCTTTATGGTTTACAAAGTACTTCCACATAGATATTTCAGAGGCTTCTCAACACTCTTTCAAGATATTTAAGATGTTACCTTCATTTTTTATAGTTTTGGATAATGGAGCTCACTGAGAGTTTGCCTTGAGAGTAAGTGGAGAAGGTAGGATTTGAATTCGGGTTTACCACATTGAGTCTCTTGCCATTTCCACCATTCCACACCAGAGCTTAGGCAGTTTAGCTCTTAGCTTAAGATCTGTTTAAGGTATCTCTGCGTGAGGGAGTGAGCCTCAGTGCCTGAAAAGAACCACTACAACTGTAAAATTCTATTTGCTGAAGTAGTAGAAAGTCTATTTTATTTCAAAATTGTATTTTGAAAATGTATTTTCAAATATGTTTGAAACTATATCGTGTTTGGGAACTACATCATGGATGTAGAGAGGGGCCTCCACGGTGAGCCAGCCTTTACGGTATACATTCTAGTAGTACTGAATTTGACAGATCAGCTTTGCATACTTGGCATTTAAGTCGATTCAGAGAAGATATGTTTGTAACAATGAGATTCAGACTCTCACTATTATTATTGTAAATAGTATCACTTTAAAGCTATAAACCTAATAGTGCAAAATAAAGAGAGAGAAAACAATAGCTACACTCGCATTTTTCTGAATCAAAAACTTTAGTCTTGGTAACAGCTGTTTAGTTGGAGACAAAGCACATTATGCAAAAGCTAAATTGTAGAAAGTTGTTGTCCTGCTTGTTTTTAATGTCATGTTCCTGGATGAGAACCAAAGAATCTAGCATTTTTTGAGCACCTACTATGTGCCAGGCACTTTGCTATATGTTATCTCATTCCCTTACAAGCTTCGAGGCAGGTACCGCTATCCATTTTTATAGATTCAGGGAGGTTAATTAACTTGTTCAGGGTCACACAGCTCTTAATGAGAGAACTCATCCTGAGACCCAGGTTGGTCTGACTGCAGTGCCCATCATCTACGTTGGTTATTCTCAGAGTTTTTGTGTGCAACAGGATCTTCTGGTGGAGGGCTTGTTAAAAGATGGTTGCTGGGCACCCCCTCCTAGAGTTTCTGATTCATTAGGTCTGGGTTAGGCCCAAGATTGCGCATTTCTAACAAGCTCCCAGGTGGTGTTAGAGCTACAAATTCTAGGATTACACTTGAGGACATCATCTTCTTTTCTTCCAAGGGCCTCTGAACTCACATGATAGACAGGTTTGTTTTACGGCAAAAATATGGTTAGAAACCCAATAACATTTGAATTTTTTTGTAATTATAAAAAATTTCATTTACAGTAAGAAAACTACTTAAATATATTGATCTAGTTTTGGTTTTAACTATGGATAAGCAATTTAAAGACTCCACTATTTTATAAATTGTGAGTGGTGCAGTTCACTTTTAATAATTAGATCTACCGAATTCCTTTTTTTAACCATGAAAAGCATTCGGAAGAAAGAGACTGTTGTTTATTATTTTAGATATGCCGATCAGGTGATACATTTTATCCTTTGATAGTATACAATGGGATTTTAAATAACATTTGGATAAGGTCATTGTTCTTTTAGGCCTTTTGGAGCCATTGCTAAAGATCAACCTCCAAGAGGACTTTGTAAGCAACCCTTAGACATACATGTTAAACCTGACATCAAATGCCGCTCATGTGCTGACTTCGTTTCCGTATCTCCTGACTAGAAGCGTTGGAAAGTTCGACTCTGATGACCAACCCATTATAATGGACTTAAGAAACTAGCTGTCCCAAATTTTCTCTGGCCTTCTCATGTTTGTTGAATGAGTGACTATTAATTTAAAGACCCCGCAAGAACATTGCTTCAGCATTTTCTTTTTTTTTGGAGGAAGATTAGCCCTGAGCTAACTGCCAATCCTCGTCTTTTTGCTGAGGAAGACTGGCCCTGAGCTAACATCCGTGCCCATCTTCCTCTACTTTATACGTGGGACACCTACCACAGTGTGGTGTGCCAAGCGGTGCCATGTCTGCACCTGGGGTCTGAACCAGTGAACCCCAGGCTACCAAAGCAGAACGTGGGAACTTAACTGCTGCACCACCAGGCTGGCACCTGCTTCAACGTTTTTTATTCCTGGTTTTTTCATCAACTAATTAGAGTATGAAACTCCCCTCTAGGGTAAAATGATAAGTCTTAACTTTCAGCTCTCTGCCCAGCAGTTAATAACAGCAGGAAAACATCTAATCCAAATAAACTGTAGACTTTAGGTGGCATTTTATTTAGGCCTGGGGACCAGGTAACATTATTTTTAGGTGAGAGGCAAAAGGTGTTATGTTAGTGCTTCTAATTACCTAGGAGACAGCTGCTATACTGCTGTTACTGGCTGCGGCAGTTAAACCTGGCTCTCAGCAGGCTCTTCGATGGAAGGGACAGACTGTTTTTGCTACAGCCCATGGGGAAAGTGACAGTGATTTTAGGCATTAGATCTTTGGCTGGGATAAGAGATAAATTTTGTAAATTAAGATAATTGCTTTGGTCATCTTCTTTAAGTCATTTTAACCATTGAGTCTTCTGACGTTTATGCCTAACTGCTTCTTAATATTGCTCAGGCTGTTTTTTTTTTTTTTAAGAGTTTATTTTTTTCCTTTTTCTCCCCAAACCCCCCCAGTACATAGTTGTATATTCTTCCTTGTGGGTCCTTCTAGTTGTGGCATGTGGGATGCTGCCTCAGCGTGGTTTGATGAGCAGTGCCATGTCTGCAGCCAGGATTCAAACCAACGAAACACTGGGCCCCCTGCAGCGGAGCTCACAAACTTAACCACTCGGCCACAGGGTCAGCCCCTGCTCAGGCTGTTTATAAGCTAACATCCTCAGGAAGAGACCCTCCTAACCCTGTCCAGCTCTCTGAACTTGATATCAAGCAATTATTTTATGTCAAGGAATTAAGAAGAAAAAAGATTTGTGTTAAACTAGAATTTAAACAAGCTGGGTGCTTGCCCACCATTCCCCATCTTCCCATTCCTTCATGCTCAATTTTTATCAAAAAGTATTGAAGCTTTTGTAGAAGGCTGAATTTTATACATTTCATACCAAATGTTGCAGCTGAAGCCTTCACTAATCAATCAGATCTAAAGTTCTCACCTGCAAAATCCTCTCTCCCTACAGATGAACAGACTCTGGTGAATTCATCCTGAATTTCCCTGGAACTTAGGCTGGCAATCCTTAGGAAATTTTTTGCAGCTGCAAAAATGTGCTTAAAATATGTATATAAAATCTCTAAATCGTCCTCTGAATCAAGGTTAGCCATTTCTCTCTCCCCTGCTAGGCACCCATAAATGAGGAACAGAAAGCCTCAGTTAGTCCCTAAATTTGTATCTGCATAACACCAAATGATTTGGGACACTGGTTAAAATGATTATACTTTTACTGAATTACTGGTCTTTTGCCATATGTACTTGGTCGCTTATGTTTTGGTCTTTCAAAAATTAAGCAGGGATAAGAACATGCTTATGCCTACAGCTTGCCTCCCACACTGTTTATCAATTTATGTGACCATTTAAAAATATTTAAGGAGCAACTTAAGGTCACTTTAATCATATTTTAAATAGTGCAAGAGTTTTTATAAATTGCTTGTATTTGAAACTAATATATTAATGTCAAGGGTAAAGGTAAGTCAATAGATTATATTTCTGTCCTGGAGAGAGAGAAATTAATCCATTTAATATTATGCACAGATATAATGTTTCTTTAAAAATATGTGTGAGTGTAAGAATTAGTAAAGGACGAAGAAACTTTCAAAAATTTTCAAAATTTTTTTCAGAAGGAAAGGATATAATGGATCAGTCTGTAATAAGCTTAAAACTACTCAAATGAAAAATAAAACAGCTAGAAATTGACTAATCAGAATCTTAAATTAGCTTGCAATTTTTTCAACACCCTGATTTTATGAGGCACATACACCGCCCCCCCTCAATCTAACAGTTGAAGATATTATATGTTCCAATATTTTGGGGTCAATATATATTCAGCCCAATCCATATATAAAAGATTTCCATTTAATCTTCAATTAGCAAACATGTTTGATAACCAAACAAAACTGAAATTTTACTGGAATGTGTGCATTTCCTTTATAGGCAGGTAAATGCACATCGTTTTTCCACAGCTGGAATCAGAAAGCCATAGAACAGCATATACTTAATGGAAGCCAGTTTTGCCATGCATATCCATTAAAATGGTACATTTTTTGAAAAGAAAACTATGTGCGTCCACTCTTTTGATCAAATTCAGGATTGCCCTAAAATATGAATCAGAAAGCTGTGGCTGTCAATTTGTCACTCGCACTGTAACAGCTCTCAAGGAGACTCCCTCCTGCCCCCTCAAAAAAGAAAAGTTAGAGAAATTTGTTTCTAAGCATTCAAGGAAATGTGCCAGTGGAAAATATTTTAGGTAGTTTGCGAATGCAGTTAGAGACAGAATTTTAAATAGAAAGGCCTTTTTGTCCTCATTACTGCTGGCCTACATTCATGTATTTGGAGATGACTTCCTATACTGTCAGAGATTTATAACTGTAAAACTTTTTTTCTTTTCCAGTGACGTGGAATGAGTGTAATTAACTATAAACATCTCCATACAGAAGGGTATCTGTTCTCAAAAGTGACTAAGTTCTCTTTCTCCCCCTTGAATTTCCATGAGTTGAGGATCGTCTGAGTTGCATCCATGAACAATTTTATCCCTTGGTTTCTTATTTGCTTGGAAGGCATTTTCATAACAAAGTACTGGTTTAGTAAAAGCAGTAAATAGGAGTCTCCATGCAAGAGAAATTGGAGTTTCCTAACATGCACATGATTTAAAAAATAAAAATAAAAAATAAGGTGCCTTGAGATGCTGGCAGTTTTAACATTTGGAACAAAAGAGTTCATCTGTATATTTACATCCTAACTGCTCAATTTTACCTTACAAGCTTCAATTTAGGAAAATATACAGTACTTTTGCATATAATGGTACCTTGTGAGCCCCTGAGTCAAGTAGAGAGGATTTAAATACAAAAAGGAAAACAGCCATTAAAAGCACTTACATTGTATGTGGAGTAAATAGTACAAAATGATTATTTCCCTGGAAGACCAGGATCAGAAACATGCCTATGAAGACCCAAGACTCCTACAGTGCTTAGGGATGAATCTGTCAAAGAAGGGTGCCTAATTGGAGGAAGGTAAGTTTTTCTTTGCCTTGGGTGACGCTCTAAAGAGAGATCACTGTCTTGTTTTACAAGTGAAGTCAAGTTGTCTTCCGAAGCTGTGTTCAGATGCACCCCACTCGAGAGGGATTCTTTGGATTTAAGTTTAGATTTTTCAAGGTCTAGAAATTCAGGACACTGATAGAAAGAAAAGAAAAGAAAACTCATTTTTGTAATTCATTTGGACACAGTTCTAAAATTACACTCAGGAAGCCTAAATGTGTTTTCTTTCCCCATAAATTTGAATTTGATGGGTGGTATTAACCAAACTTTCCCTCCCAAAGATGAGTCAAGACTTCAGAGGTCAGGTATCAGTTTAGATAATCCTTAACAACCATTCTAAGAACTTTAATTTTACTCTGAAGCCAGATCAGATTCTTCTTTTTTTACACATTTTTTTCACATTGAGTTTTCCAGATGAATTTTAGTTCAATTCAAGACAAAACTGGGATCCGAAACGTGGGTCTTTTAGTAAATAAGGAGTATAAGGAGGAGAGAAAACAAAAAAGGAAGGAAAATCACCCATCCCTGGTCAGAAAATATGATCTAAATCCACTGAAAACAGAACAAAGTACATGGTTTTGCATATTTCCCAGCCATTCAAAACTAGTTAGAGATAAATAAATTTCTACTTTCGTATTTTGGAAAGATCACATTATTTTCCTTCTGCACATTACCTCCTGTTATTGATGTAGTTTCATTTCCCAGAACATTTTGCACTAAATTTCCAAACTTCTAAAAAAGTTTTACAAGATTGTTCTGTAAATCCTAATTTAAATCATCATTCGTAGGGCCAATTTGGCCATAGTGTTTAAGTAATTAAGATTGATTTCCAAAGTGGGATTCCAAAGGAACTAGACTTTTTGTATTAACATAATTCAGAAGGGCCCTCTTAGAGGGCTTCAGAGGCAGGATAAAGGACACCTCAACATTCCTCCTCTTACCAACCTCAAGGTGAGGAAAGTTTATAGATCTCTGGTGATGGGTAGGGCACAGATGAGATTACTAGCCTGACTGCACTTGAATCTCAGGTCTTCTCTGGCCAGCTGCTATTTCTCCTCCCCTTCCTTTCTGACCCTGCCCAGCCTCTTATCGCTTGAGCAAATTACAGACCTTTCTCTGAAGCACTTTCTGGACCCAGGGCTCTTAGCATTCAAAGCTCTACTATATATAAACTTAAGTAGATTGATTCTTGAAAAAAACTTTTTCTTAAAAAAAAAATGCTAGTGTTTTAAGATCATTCCTCCAGGTCCATTGTTCTCAAACATTAAATGAGCATAAGAATCAGGGGGTTTGTTTAAAATGCAGATTACTGGGCCTTTTCCCAGAAATTCTAATTGAGTAGAAATAGAGATGGGGATGAGAATCTGTACTTTCCCCAGCACACCTGGTGGTTCTGATTCAGGTGGTCCCTGGAACCACACTTTGAGAAACCCTCTTGGTTGTACACTATCTATACTCACTTGTGAAGAAGGACTGAAACTCCGATCAGTCTTGATGGATGCTAACGGATGACTGGTTTTCATCAGGTGGATGACGGGTCTCTGATACTCTGCTCCTGCAGTTACCATACTGTAGGCTGGGGGGACCACAGTGGTTTGTTTCTGCAGCAACTGTAAGATGGTCTGGATGTCAGCAGTCATTTGGGATTCAAGTCTGCAGGACAGAGAGAAATTGGGGGAGACAGTCCTAAGTATAGTCCAGGATTGCAAAGCACATGAGAAAATTTCAGCACCACCCACAAACAGAATCACGGCCCTGCTTTAAACAAGAAGGACAGGAGAGGGAGCATGGAGATTCTCTCCTGGCTGTTGCTCATTTTCGATGTCTCATTAATGTTCTGACAAAGACCATTGCTCTCCTGCTCATTCAATAAGATCTTGACAGAGAAACAGCTGAATGGATTACTCTACGTTTTTACAATGCACATTGTATTAAATTTTTGCAGTTAAGCTTTATTGATTTCAAAATGTAAAACGCACTGAGAATCTACTTTTAATCAATAATTGTCTTTGCTTTTTAATCAGGCTTTGCTCAGTTTCTTGTAAACATCTTATTTACTCTTTAAAAAATAGATTTGGTAGCACATTTCTTTCATAGTTGCAACAACTGGATAATTTCTTATATGTTTCTAGTTCATATTACCTTCATTTTGCCTTGCCTGTCTCCTATTCACATCAAGTAGTGTATAGTAATCATTGTATTCTTTAATGTTAAGTACTGTTAAATGTTAAATTTCGTTCCCATCTCCTGTTCGGGGCCTTTGGTATTTAGGAAACAGACCAAACGTTAAAGTTCACTTGCTTCTGTGACCCATCTAGCCTGCAAAATACCAGTCTGATTATTTTTTCCCCAAAGCTCACAAGTAGCCAACTGGCCTGTTAATTTCATTCTCATTTTAAATTAAAATTCAAGGGAAAATAGCAAAATACAATAGGTCTGACTCCCCTCCCTTGCATGTGTTAACATCATTAAAAAACAGAAAATTTTGTGGGCATAAGAACAAAAAAATTTGGACCATATGCCTCTTTAGAAAACTCTCCTTTTAACTCTTTATTTATTTGCACTATTTTGTCTCTCAATGAAAAATGCAAAGAAAGGTAAATCTTACCAAAAATATTAAAATCATAGAACTAATTTTGCCCAGTTACATACATGCTATATTTATGGAATTCAAAGTGGAGAGAATTTAACCTTTGATTTGAGAGAGAACAAAAATAAACATGAAAAACATGGAAAAAGATCATTTTTTAATGTTTAGTTCTTAATATTGATACTACAAATCTCCCTTCTGAGAATCATGACACATTCTTCTTAGAGGTTTTCTATATTTGATATATATAGACATATAGCTTAGTGTCTTCTAAACCAATAGCTATAAATTACACATGATTGTTCCTTGCAAATGTCAGAACCACACACTGAAAAGAGAAGAATTGAGTTATCAACTAGTTTATTTATCTACTTGTTGCCTGTAGGTCTGATCTCATTTTTTATGGTGCCAACTAAACTGAGCAGATTTGTTATTTTATGGTTGTGCATCAATTTTTCCTTTCATTCTTCAAGGTCTAGCTCAAATTTTATTTGTACCCGAAAATCTTCCCTTATTTGACCCATTCAAAATTAATTTTTCTCTCCTCTGAGCCCCGAAAGAAAATTCTATGTTCAGACTTCATCATAAGTATTTCTGTACAAACATGTCCTATCATTAACAGCATTTAATATTTAGTGAGTGGCTTACACTTGTTTATTACATTGAATGTAAAAGGATTTGGGGGCCCATCCAATGGCACAGTGGTTAAGTTCACACACTCCACTTCGGCAGCCCAGGGCTCGCCAGTTCAGATCCTGGGCATAGACCTATGCACTGCTTATCAAGTCATGCTGTGGCAGGTGTCCCACATATAAAATAGAGGAAAATGGGCACAGATGTTAGCTCAGGGCCAATCTTCCTCAGGAAATAAATAAATGAGTAAATAAAAATAAAAGGATTTGGGGGTGGGGAGTGGAATAAAAACTTCATCAACAATTGGGATTCAAGACTCAATAGAGTCAAAAATCATGATAATGTTTGAGTCCTATAAAACATTTGTCAAACAGCAGTGATCTCCAGCGAACAGGATCTCTATATCACGGATTCTATCTATTTGAATAGTGTCTATGAGAAAAAAGTCTATTGGAAGGTGGGGCTTCAGCGATTGTAACATGCTGCCATGAGTGGAACTCACTTCACCTTCAAATGTGCTGACGAAGTAACAGGTGCGGGGCGAGAAGTGAGACTGTTTGTGTCAACATGGCTTAGATAAGACTGTAGACAACCTCTGTCAACGTGGCTTAGTTGTTTGTTCCAGGAAAACTTTGCCAGAGAAAAATAAGTCTAAATAACTTTACTCCTTCAGGAAATTTCTACAGATGAACTCATTGGAGACAGCTGTCTACTCATCTGAACAAATAACTTGCTTATCGAACAAATTTTATTTCTGCGGACTTGTTTCAAGATTCTCACCTCATTATGTCCATCAATCTTGAACTATTATATCATGAGCTTTGCCAAATTCCAATCACCTTCCTACCTTGAAAGGCCCAGACTTCAAAATGCTATAAATATCCTACTTCTTACTCCCCCTCCTTAGATACCACTTGGTCTCTTAAGATTGCAGTCTCCCTTTCTGCAGTGATTTTGAATACTTAGTTTTGTTTTATTAACTGGTTATCTGATATCTTGGGTAGTTCAATGCAATGGATTAAATGTTTACGTCCCCCTCCCCTAAATTCATATATTGAAGCCCTAACTCCCAATGTGATGGGATTAAGAAGTGGAGCATTTTGGAGGGGATTAGGTCATAAGGGTAGAGCCCTCATGAATGGGATTAGTGGCCTTATAAAAGAGACTCCAGAGAGCTTCCTTCCTTCTTCCACCATGTGGGGACACAGTGAGACAGCCACCTATGAACCAGGAAGTGGGCTCTCACTAGATACCAAATCTGCTGGTGCCTTGGTCTTGGACTTTCCAGCCTCCAGGACTCTGAGAAAGAAATATCTGTTGTTTATAAGCCACCCAGTCTATGGTATTTTTGTTATAGCAGCCTGAACATACTAAGACATTCGACAAATGGAAGCTCCAGTGAAGACTATTTTTACTATGCATAGATTATATTTTCATGTTTTATGACTAGGGTCTATTGGCTTAACTGGAATGGACTCTTCTACTGAGACTAAATAATCTACTTTACTCAAGAGGAATTATAGATAATTGTTTTAAAGTCCAATGTGGTCTTTAAAACAGAAAAGAATAAATAACCCAGTTTTATAACTTTCTTTTGTCAGTGAAAGTTACCAGAATATGCCACCCCAAAATATGCCACTTCACCACACTGATAATTTTGAGCTGTAGGTGCTTGAAAAACAGCAAATGCAGGGAGAGGCTTTCTGTGAACACCCCTTATCTGCCTAAAGGCAGATCCTCCAAAAGGAACTCACTTGTCATAAATCCTCTCCCCGAGAGCTTCGTCAAGCACGGAGGATTGACTCTTGTCACAGGAGAGGAGGCTAGAAGTTGACTCCACACTCAGGCAAACTTTGTCACAAATTATCATACTTCCTATCTAGTCTTCTAAAGGTCCATTCATCTTTCCTAAAAATCATTAATTCTCCTCTGAGAGGCCTCCACCCCCCTCCCCTTTCCCTATTAAGATGGTATTTAATCCTGAATTCTAAGCCGCCTTGGGAGTTACTCGTTTTTCCCTATATATCTCCCATATATACATGATGCATAGATGTTAACAAACTTCTGTTTGTTTTTCTCTTGTTAATCTGTCCTTTATGACAGGGGTCCCAGCCAAGAACTCAGAAGGGTAGAAGGAAAATTATTTTTCTTCTCGTACATCAGCACAGCTATACAACTGTGTAAAATGAATGTTTTCATTTACTTATTCAAAGACCCACAATGTACCAGGCACTGTGTTAGGTAGGAAAGTGAGGAGAGAACATGGTGATGAATAAATATGGACTCTGGTCTCAGATGCTAACAGGAGCAGACCACCTAGGAAGGAAAAATGAAGGAAGTGCATACATTGCTGTAACACTGAGGCAAAGCAAGTGCTCAGTGCCATAGTGAAGACACACAGAATAATTGTTCCGCAAGGGATGGAATCATTTCAAAAAGCTTTTAGCTTCTCTAGGGCCTCCCTACTCAAAGAGTGGTCAAAGCTGGGAGCTTGTTAGAATATGGAATCTCTGCCAGACTCCAGACCTACCGACTTAAAATCTACATTTTAACAAGATCCCCAGGTGATATGAATGCACATTAAAGTTTGAGAAGCACTGCTTTAGGACCAAGAGTTAACTATTTCCCTAAACATGTATATCTGTAGGCATAATATATAAACATATAAGAACATTTCTTAGGTAAACCTTTAACCCTACATATAGTTTAATTGACCATTAAAGCAGAAAAGCAGCAACAGCAAGGATGACTCCAGATCCACCATTTATATTTGTTTTTATTGCATTGTGGGTTTAATATGTGTATTTGGATGAGACAGATGGGGTAGAAATTCACAGTTCTATACTAGAACAGAATGCTGAAGCTAAACAGGGTAGACTCGACTGTAGAAAGTGTCCCAGGATTCTCATTCCGCGAAGTCGAAGTCTGAACTGAGCCGCCCTCTCCAAACTTGTTTTCTATACTTTTGCTTCCAGAGTAAAGTGGAGAGGAGAGGTTGTTGGAGACGGCAGTATGGCAAAGATGTAATATTTTGGATTTTAAATCCAAAAGAGGCTAAGCTGAGTTAGGCAATAAAATGTTTGTGAAAATAATCAGAGACAAATAGAAAGAAGTTAGTTAAAAGAAAAAAAGTGTGTCAAAGGACGTGCAGGTGCTAGGAACTTGCCAAAAGAGATTTAATTGCAATTTGGCTGTGAAAGAGTTTCATAAAGTAATAATTTTAAAAAAACTAATATAATAAAATAATCATTATTGTTACTAATTGGCAGTTGCAAACCAAATGAGTCCTAGATATATATGCCCTTAAAAGTTTATACTTTCAGCCCTGGGAAATATTGAAAACAAATGTTTTCAATAATCTTTGACTTATGCTAGCAGCAATGATTCCTAGCAATGACAAGGCAACGAGGGAACCCTACACATCTCAATTTTAGTCCTGAAAAAAAGGTCCGAATCAGGAGATGTAAAAATACACGTGAAGAGGAAAATACAGCAGTCGTCCATTATCTGCGGTTTTGCTTTCCGCAGTTTCAGTTACCTGTGGTTAACCATGGTCTGAAAATATTAAATGGAAAATTCCAGAAATAAACAATTCATAAGTTTTAAATTGCACACTGTTCTAAGCAGCACGATGAAATCTCCCACTGTCCTTTTTTCTCGCACCTGGGACGTGAATCATGCCTTTGTGTGGTGTATCAACACTGTATATGCTACCCGCCATTAGTCGCTTAGTAGCCATCTCGGTCATCAGATTGACTGTCGCGGTATCGCAGTGCTTCCATTCAAGTAACCCTTATTTTACCTGATAATGTCCCCAAAGCACAAGAGTGGCGATGTGGCAATTTGGATATGTCAAAGAGGAGCCATAAAGTGCTTCCTTTAAGTGAAAAGGTGAAAATTCTCGACTTAATAAGGAAAGAAAGAAATCATATGCTGAGGTTGCTAAGATCTACGGTAACTTCAATTACAATATATTGTTATAATTGTTCTACTTTATTATTAGTTATTGTTATCAATCTCTTACTGTGCCTAATTTATAAATCACCCTTTATCTTAGGTTTGTATGTATAGGAAAAAACATAATATATACAGGGTTCAGCACTATCCGCTGTTTCAGGCATCCAGTGGGGGTCCTGGAATGTATGCCCCGTGGCTAAGGGGGGACTACAGCACACTCAGAGAAACACCAATAATAGAAGTGCAGTTCATTGTTAATCAAATTTTCCCTAACTGCAAGTACAACATTTTCTGTTTGTATAGCATATATAGCCTCCACATATATTATCTTAGTTTCTACAACAGCACTGCAGGCAGGTATGAGTCAAAGAAAGAAACTGAGCCTGGAATCTAAATGGCTTGACCCAGTCATCCTGTAAATGGTTAAGTAGTAGAGTTATGATTTTAATCTAGGCTAACCAATTGTGAGTACTGTGCAAGAATTGTGCTAAAGGAATCATGACTGTCCCTGTCACTCATCCATTCATTCTCTCACATACTCTATGTCCTGGCAGTAAAGAAATGAGCACTTATTTTCTCTCAGTCACAGGAATTGAAGAAATTCAAGTTCAAAGACCACACATATCAATTCTTATGTGTCGCACAGTATACATTTTTATGTATGTTATGACTAAAAGATCAATGTGGCTTGGTATACATAGCAAGGAGAGAAAAAAAGCAAATGTATTAATTTAGTAACTAAATATGTTTCTCTGACCAATAATAATAATCATAGCCCATTCGTATAATTTAATTAAGAATTAGTGACACTAAGTAAATGATGGTCTGTTTAAATTCTCTCGGGTATGTTTCAATTTTACAAGACTTGAATTTGGCACTTGGAATGAGATATGGATCTCAACACCAGGCCATTTTAAATTCAATTAAATTTCATGGTTATGTATATGTGTGTGCACACAGATTTTAATGTGTTTACTGTATTGTTTGAAACTGTTCAATTCTGGCATAAATATTTAAAAAACATTAAAAATAACAAACAGCATGGATAAAACACATAAGAGATATTAATCGGATAGTAAGTAAACCAGTGGCTTGCGTGATATAGGCAAAACTCATAGAATGTGTTAAGTATAGATAAGCAGTTAGCAAGTAGCTTGTTAGACACAGGCAGAATTCATAAGATGTATTAAATACAGACAGCATGCTACTAACTTGTAAGACATACCCAAGATAGAATAGAAATATGATGTAACAAATTAGACGGTAGCTTATACGTAGGAAGAAATGGAAAGAACCAATTATTCTCATGTCACCTCTGGGCAGACAATTGTCACCCCCAAATTTGGTCACCCACTGGTGACATACAGTATAGACTCATTCTGGCTCCCCATATGCTTTACCTAAAAAAGGCCGATGAAACACATGGCTGTTCAGCAGGCTAATTACAGAGCCATAGCTGTGGCCAGGTGCCTTACATCTTTGTGGTAGAGCAAGGGTGTGTCATTGGCACAGGGGATTTTCCGTCTGGGGACCCCTTTGTGCAAACCTCAACTCTGGTCCTGGTAACAACACCATTAGCAGAGAAGGCTGATGCGGCCTATATGAACATTGGATAAATCAGGATTCAGGTAGCGTTCTTCCTTTCCCATGCTTACACTTATTAGAAATGTGTTAATTGTCCCATTTAGCTCTCCTCATCTCTCATTGTGTGTTTTAAATTGATTTAAATCCTGTGATTTGAGCATTTTAGTTCAATGCATAAAGCTTTCCGTCTGTGACCAGTGGAGTACTTTGCCTGGTGGTATACCTGGAAGCTACCTTTGAATCAAGGTAAACGCCCACGGGAAACATAACTAAGGCAGCTATTCACGTGTTTTTTTTCAGAGTCTTATTGACCAGTTTAATTTTTTTTTTTTTTTTTTTTTTTTTTTTTAAAGATTTTTTTTTATTTTTTCCTTTTTCTCCCCAAAGCCCCCCGGTACATAGTTGTGTATTCTTCGTTGTGGGTTCTTCTAGTTGTGGTATGTGGGACGCTGCCTCAGCGTGGTTTGATGAGCAGTGCCATGTCCGCGCCCAGGATTCGAACCAACGAAACACTGGGCCGCCTGCAGCGGAGCGCGCGAACTTAACCACTCGGCCACGGGGCCAGCCCCCTTGACCAGTTTAATTTTAAGGAATTCATGCAGATTTGGGTTAAGGAGTTCCATCCTCCCTAAAAACAAAATTTACTCCTCATCTCAAAAGGATATAGATCAAAGATGGAGGGAAAATGGAGACAACCTGGACTTCAACTCTGTGGGGTTTTCAGTTAAATTACTTTTTTGACAAGTTGACTGAATAACTAAAGGTTTAAATAATTTTGTCCATACCTAAAAGAGAAATGCCTAACACGTAGCTAGGTTACCAGGAACAATGAAAAAGTACAAAAGAAGGATTAAAAGAGGAGTCAACAAGCTAAACATGAATTATTTTGAGGAAAAAAAAGGAATTTTCCTAGGCAGCTGGTGTGATTAATATACTAATTTTATGGCAAATAAAGAAAAATATGGGATTTATGCTGCCAGAAGTATAAAGTGTTCTAAATAAATGCTCCTTGCAACACAGATTAATAATTCTGTCAACTTCTAGTTTTATTTTAATTAAGTGTATGAGGAAACTATGAGATCTATTGCAAGAAGAATTTGCTGCTTACAAGGAGTAAAGCTAGACCCAACTGAGGGCTTGGATTATGTTCTCTTTTTGCCTCGTCATTGCTTATACCTGTTAAGTTGTTCTTGAAGCAAATCTAGTCTTTGCTCCACTTCTCCATAGGTGAGGTCACTTTCAGTTTCAGAGATCCCCCAGGCAGCTCGCTGAAGTGCTGAGGGACTAGACTCATCAGCCTGAGTCTGGGTGTTTTCTCGTTCCCAGCCTCCCGTGTCAGCGATATCTGTGGGAAGTAACAAGATGGATGTCAACTTCCTTGGGTTCCCATTTGCATGAGTAACAGAGAGAAATCCACAACACAAGCAGGAAGGGATCTTGGAAGTACAACCTGAAGACAGAACCAGAGTGACTCAGACCTGTCCAAGAGCCACAACCAATTGAAAGCTGAGTCCCACCCACCCTGACCCTTCATCTCCATGTGAATAAAAACATATCGCTGGTTATGAGTCTTGAATACAACTTTGCCTTCTTTCTGTTCATGCTAAGAGGAGACATGGATGGTCAACCCAAAACCCTGATTAAAGAACAGTGATTTCATGCTTTTATATTTGGGAAGAAACAGCACCATTTGTACTGCTTCCCCTCTGATGTAAGATTTTACGGCTCTTTCCCCCAGGATAATTTGCATACTTCATGATTCAAAGTGTGCCCCAGGAGAGCCATGGAGAAGTCCTGATCTTCAGCTACATTCCCTTAGGCCAACCCAACTCAAAGTAGAGGCAAGGAACTATGAGCCATTAAAAGTGGGAAGGGCCCTAAAAGTCCTCTAGTCCCATGACACCCTTCCATGTTCTTCATTTCCTGGTAGCTCCCTTCGCACTGTCCTTTAATATAGTCACATTAATTTCCAATATTTTTCTTGTGGCTCTTTTATTTAAAATATTTTTATGTTCTATACTTTAAAACATATTGCTTATCTGTTCAAGTCCACTTTTCAAATGCTCTGAGTGTCCATTATGTGCCAGGCACTCTGCTAAATGTGGAGGAATTAAAGACCAAGAAGATACAGGCCCTGCAACCTGAGGAATTCAGTCTACCAAGGTTTCAATAATTTTTCATCCAGAGAGTCATTTTCTGAGCTTCTTTTAATTTACTGTTTCTCCTACAATCTGTATATGCTAGTTATCAATATTTGAGGGAAAATATAATATCTTACTTTTCCTCTCATTTTTGTCCTATACTTGTGATGGCTTTCACTATGCTTTCTTACCTTCTACATTTTATGTATCTACAGAAGGGCTTGAAATGAATAGAAGGTTGGAAAACAAAACCCATGAAAAAGTACTAGTGGAGTTTGGAGTTTATTTCAGGGATAAAGAAGGAGCAAGACATTTTTCTCACTGCAAGGCTAGGAGGAGGAAAAGACTACCTAAAACTGGTCTTCATTTTCACATGGAAATAGATTTGAATTACAGAAAGTGATTTTGGTTTGATAGAAAAGCTTTTTTTTTGGACACGTAGCTATGATTAAACACTGACAAAAGTTACGTAAACTCAAGGAATTTATATTCTGGGCTATTTTTAAAAGTTGGATAGGAAGTAACCGATTTGAGGAGAATTAGCTATGATTCTAGAAGCAGGGAACAAGCTTCGTAGGACTTCTTGAAGTCCCTACATTTTCCTACGATTTCTCCTAAAGTACAGATAGCTTAAAAGCATCCTCTTTCTCCAAGTAGCAGACAAAATTTCTGTATCCTTTCTTCATGGTTTTTCTGTCACTATCCTTTTATCATTGAATACACTGAGATTTCTCTAATAAGGTGCCTACAATTTATGCCTCCATTGGGTGAAGTTGTAACAAAGAAATTAGCATATCCAAAGAGAGCATTAGAAAAATGCAAGGTCAGGGTTCCCTGTTCTGTGGAAATAGCTCACAGGTCTCAGAGAACTTGCTATGAATTCCAAAGGGTTCTTTGTGCTTCCTTAGCCTATAGGATCCTAGTGCTTTGTTTTTTTTTTTTTTTTTTAAGTGACAGTATATAATCTCTTTTGATGTATTACCAAACACAACAACATGAAAATAAACATAGAAAAATGATATTGCTGGAGTTTCAAGTAATATATCAGCAGATTTTCACTGAAAAGTATGATTTACTATTCACAGATATGTGACTCTATTTAAAATGCAAAACAATAATATAATGTTTTACTGCACTAGGTTTCCAATTTGGGAGCAGCAATGCCAACCAAACATTCAGACGCACAGATCAATGGTTTGGTGAGGCCAACGCTTGCCCCTGTAGGCTCCTGCTAGCTGATTAAGGTAGGAATCTTTAAAGAAGACAATAAGAACTGACAGGAGGGAAGTTACATATTATGTTCAGAAGTTTTGTACCAAGAAAGCTTACACAGTTTCTGCCGATGCTTAGCAGCTCTCTCATTCTCAAATCATATATAATAAATTGATTTTTAAATAACAATGGTGAATCACATGTAATAAATTATGTAGGATTATACTTTTTCTTCAGTGCACGTTATCTTCTCCTAGCAAAAATGAATAAAATGTAAACTATTAGATAAAGGCTTGCTTGATTATAATTTACTCTTTTATTAAAATCTGGATATGTGTGATTAGCTTGTGTTAACAGCAATATGAAAAAAAGGAGTTCAAAGGGAAAATCACAGTTAGTGGTCTTAATCAAAATGAATATCCTTGTAGACACTTTCTAAATATAGCTCAGAAAGAATCTGCACTTGGTTGCCTTGGAAAATGTTGCTATAGTTGCAAGACACATTTCTGGAAATGGATGAACAGAAAGGAAACTTTCACTTTGCTCTGGGTACACAATTTTCCTAGAGTCAACTTTTGACCTCAATTTAAGTAGGATCAGAGTCCATTCAATTTGTTTTTTTCTTTTTAGTTTTGTCTAAAGGTGCTCCTCTGTTGGAGTCGGCATGACAAATGCCAGGAATGTAAGTGAAATTTCCTATTGACGATAAAACTAAATTTTGTGAAGATTTAGTAATTCAAACTGCACCAGTTACAGCTACACTCTACATATTATTCAAATTCTCAAACATTCCACAGTACTTCACCTTAAAAAACCATTAGGGAATGAAATTTGCAGTGAATGAAGTTTTAGAATTCTCCATTGGTTGGTCCTATTAGTAAATTGATTAACCGTGTGTCACACTGATTGACTTTATATGACATTGACTATGTTTATTCAATCATGCATATTTAACTATGCATTTTCTGGTTAATTGTCTATATTTAAATAAAGTTTGCATTGTAAATCTTGGAAAATTAAAATTTGTAGATATTAAAATTATTTGTTAAAATACTATTTTTTAATTGTGCATTTGGAATAGCTAGTTAAAAATAATTGGAAAAAGTGTCAAAGAAAAATATAAGATGCAGGGCATGAGAATTCACTGTCAGCAAGAGTCATTATGAAGTTGAATAAAATCCCCCAAATATATGTTTAATGCCTTGTCACTTGCGACTATAAAACTCAAGAGGAAAACAACAAGAAGTACTTTTTAAAAAATCAGGCCTACTCTCAGCTGACTTTTGGAGACAGTAGAGATGGTTCAGCAAGCTCTTCAGAACTTCCATGATACAACCTTTTTCTATTTTTAGCACTTCCCAGAATCCGTTTTCATAAATAACTAAAACGGGACATTTGGTAATCACATCTAATATTCCATTCTTCCATTGTGATAAATGAGGTCCTATTTTCATTCACTTCATCAAGATTTTAGATTGTCCAGAGAACATTTGCATATATTCTTAGCTTACTTCAACATGGGGTCATGGCCAAAGCTGATTTGATAAGATAAAGAAAGAAACTCTGAAAAAAATGTAAAGCCCAAGCATCCTAGATTCAATAAAACTTTTGTTGTCAAATATAGTCACTTTGAATAATGGTGATGATGATAGGTAATATTTACTGCATGCCAAAATTTTGCTCTCCTGCCAAGCCAAGAACATCCTATTTTTCCTTCTTTTCTGTTACATTCTTTTGATTTTTTGCTACACCTTCTTTATCTCTACATTTTTATATCTCCAGGGATATAGTTGATGATTAAAGGGTTGGCAAATAAAACCTGTGAGAAAATACTAAACTGAGTTGGGATTTTATTTCAGAGAAAGTAATTTCTGCATGTTATCTTGTTTAATAATCACAATTGACAAGTTGGTTAGAAAATATTATTCCTGTTTTAAAGATGTGCACTGAGTCTTACCTGGGGGTGGCGTGGGGAGTCACTTATCCAAAGTCATAAAGGGAGCAAGTGACAGATTTGGGGTTGGAACCCAAGCAGTCTGACCCACACCTATTCTTGCACCCACTTAATAGGTAACTCTAACTAGATCTGTAAATCTAGCTCCTGTTATGCTAAGTTAATTGTTCTTCTATGTGATTGTTCTCAAGTTTTCTTGAGTTTCTCATCCTTTAGCATCAAATCTGCGTGCGTTAATCAAGCATTATTACCCATCTCATGAATATTTTCTGCAAAAAACCCACATATTTGGGTATTCCTTTTGGTAGAGATGTTAAACAAATGTGTTCAAATGAGTTGGATCAAGAGCATACTTTATTAGGGGCATTTCTCTTTGTTTTCTGACAATTCCCAGTAAAATGAAATTCTTTTTGGCAATTATTGTATTGGCCTTTCATGCTACGAAACAACAGTGTTGGGGGTGAGGAATGGGTACAGAAGATACATATAAGAATCAACCGGTTAGCCCTCTTAAAATGCTCATTGATTCCCTCTCTCTGTTGGAATCACTACAATAGACATTCCCACAATGCTCTACGTGGCATTACACTAAGTCTGGTCACAAAAACCCTCTTCTGCTATCATTGTTTGGGTATAATTACCACTATTCCAGAATTGTACAAACATTGTAGATGATCTGAGATTTCAACTCTTTGCAAATATTTCATGAAGTATCAACAGATTAGATTAATATGTGTCAGTACAGCTCTTATTTGTGAAAAGTCACCATTTTTGATTAGCACTGAAGAGAGACAAACAGATTCCTGAGAAACTTGATTACCTTTACAAGAGTGACTTCTTTTATCTATGTGAATTCTTCCTGAGGTGGGCACTGTTTCTTCAAAATCAAGTCCCGCTGCTTTCCCTATTCCTGGAGGAGAGTCTGCTATTCCTGAGAAGAGAGGCTTTTGTTCGTCGTCAATGGAGGAGATGAAAGACGAAGATCTGCTTTTTTTCTCTTCCACGTGTTTCCTGGAGCTCTGATAATTTCTTATGGTATCTACAGAGTCTTCAAGATCATTTGCCCCGTTTGCTTTGCCAAAATCTATTAAAGAAAAGTTATTTTATAGAAAATAATCAAATGTGAGACTCTATGCATATTATCCTACCTAAAAAGATATAAACTATCTTCTTAATAGTAATGTTCTTTGAATAACTTTAACATAGAATTTTCTATAAAACCACCAGGAAAGTTGTTCTTTCTCTTTTTTCCTATTGAAAATGTAGCTACTTAAGGAGACTTTTTTTCCTAATTCAAGGGACATTAGATTATCTTTAATTAAACACATTATTCATTTCAAAATTAAAAGATTATCTGTGATAGTAATAATCTTTATATCTCAGGAGAAAAAACTGTGGATAACTTACAACCTTCTACATGCTCAACAGTCATTTGTATTCTTAAAATCTAGTGCACTATCTCTTTAAGGAAATGGAAAAGGGAGGGAAAATGCGTCCCAATTCTAAAATATCAACCCTTTGTACCTTGTTGTTTGTTTTTAACCTCATGCCCTCTTATCTTCGGCAGCCATTCATACATTGTGAAGGTCAAAACTGGAAGCCTCCTTGTGGTAAAGGCTGGCGGGCTGAATTTCAACCTTAGTTCAATGAATGTAATGGCTTTGAGATTCTAAGCAGTTTGGTTGTGCAGCATATTGCGAAGAATATAAAGCTAAATACAGTAATTAAGGTAGGTTTACCTAATTACATTAAAGCCAATAGTGCATATTGGCTGTCTTATACTGAAATGTCAGGATAATTTCAGCACTGCAGGTTATGTTAGAACATATTTCAGTGGGAAAAACTCAGAGACAAATCTCAGAACTTGCTTCCATTAGTGTCCTGGGGAGACGGTATAATTCTCCATCTGGTTACTGTGAATAACTAACCAATATACTCCAGAAGGTATATCATTTTCTAGAGAAATGGTTAAGACAGTGTCCCCATCTACTCTCTGCCTGGTTGTGCTTACTTTGTTATTTATAGAAGACCAAATAAACTGATTTAAGGCCACTCCAGAGAAACTTCCAACTGTTTTTTTAAATTCCCATATGGCAGGGAAATTAAACAGAGATTTTTTTCCTTCATTTTTTTAAACTATTATAATTTAAAATATGAGAAGCCAGAATGTAGCCCAAGGTAGAAATGGATAGAGTTTAAGAATCAGTTTCATGTGAAATTGTTATTAAGGAGTTAGTTTGTGTTCTCTCAATTAAAGTTAAACATAGCAAAAGCAGATTGCTTAATTTATTTTCTTTAAGATTTCACACTTGCTCATTGATCTCATCATTGCTGAGAAGACCATAGACCTTTCCAGCCTCAAGCATTGTAGACATCCTTGATTATTCAGTATCACGTATTCTTCTCCACTCAACCACTAATCTCATTGGCTGAAAATATTCAGATCAGCTCTTCCGACACAAAGCTTTTCTCTCCAGTGTCATTGACACAGCCCTCCTTAAGTCTCTAAACTTCATTCTTGTCATCTCTTCCTCCATTTTCTTTGATTTTAACTTCTGTCCTGAAAATTCAACATTCCCCACTTTATGAACATATCATTTCATTCCTCAAAAAATAATAGTTTCCAATTTTATGCTAGTAAATGTTAAAAAGAAGGAAAGCTTCACTTTTCTTAGTTATCCTCATAGCTGCTTAGTGAATTGCATCAGTCTGCTGCTCCTAAGTAACCCTTTAGGCAGTTCAAGCACCAGTGGGATGTGAATCAGCTCAGGCTTCTCATCTTCCCGAAAATGCTTTCCTTTTAAACGCCTTCATGGAATCTTTTCCAGCAGAAGCAAATGTAAAAGGAATTAACAAACAGTTCATATGCCTCCAGTCTAATTATGGATAAGGCTAACACGTGTATTTGTAATGAATGTACATCACAAATTATTCAGCCACGCTGTGTCTTTGGCTTGAGAGGTCTTGGGAGTTTTCTGTATATTTTTAAATACTTACACACAGTAAAATGTTCCATCCCACCTATTACTTGGGCCTAGGTCTTAGTTTTCTAACTTATGGCTTTATTTTGAATGTTTAGGCACAAATTAATCAATTAGCATATATTGTTAAATTGAATGATAACTTGCTGATTTCAACTCAGGATAAGTATTCACAAAATGTTGTGAAAGAGGGATTATTTTTTAGTTCTTTAGTAAAATGGAGCAAATTACTTCATATATGTGGTATCTAAATCATTTAGGAAAATGTCCAGGTAAAAGCAGGATCATGAAAGAAGAAGAAAAAGTTCGATATGCTTGCATTTTCCAATTCTTTTTTTTTTCTTTTTTTTTGAGGAAGATTAGCCCTGAGCTAACTACTGCCAATCCTCATCTTTTTGCTGAGGAAGACTGCCCCTGAACTAACATCTATGCCCATCTTCCTTTACTTTATACATGGGACGCCTACCACAGCATGGCTTTTGCCAAGTGGTGCCATGTCCACACCTAGGATCCGAACTGGTGAACTCCGGGCCGCTGAGAAGCAGAACGTGCCAACTTGACAGCTGTGCCACTGGGCCAGCCCTACGTTTTCCAGTTCTTAAGGGGAATTATTCCATATTTATTTCTGTGTTCATTGCCATTGGATGATCAGCCAGCTGCTTCCTGGATCCCAGACCATGTGAACAATTTCTTTGGTGCAGTCCAACTGCAACAACATTTTTCTGTTCCTTACTAGATAAATCAAAGCTGAATACGTTATCATTTAAAATGAAAGTTGAAATGACAGTCTATTTGTGGATTAAAAATGGAAACTGCTCAGGCTTAAGCTGGAGGTTGGCTGACGGAATACATGAAACTAAGCAGAAATACATTATAACTAGCCTCCAGGTACCTCTAGATTTTGATGGCCTGTTCCATTTCTTCCTTTTTCTAGTTAAACTGGATTATTGGACAGACATTAAATAGTGTTAGTTACTATTTTTCCTTAATGCTATTCTTATTCCATGTAGAAATAGCATTCTGAGGGAGTTTTACATTTTCCCCTTTGCTAGAAGTGAGAGTGTATAATCACTCCCATTACCAGCATTTTACGAAGAAAAACTTTTGCCTGTTGAAGGCTCAAATTTGTTTTCTGATTTAGATTACTGAAAATCTTTATTTTTCTTCATCCTTTGTTTCTGCAAGCTGACAGTTCTTCTCTTCCCCTTTTCTCAAAGGACGCAATTCTAAAGCATTTGTGATTTGTCTTGTGGGTGTCTCTCTGGGTTCAGAATGAACTGAAGCACACAGAATAAGAGTGTCCTGATGGAGTGGTTGACCCCATCCATCTTAAGAATGATCCGATAAAATTCTTCCATTTCAAACAATCTGGGAACACACCCTTGTGCTACCTCCGTCTTTCATGGAGTCTTTCTCTCAGATTAACTACTATTTTTATTTGCCAGACCCAACAGCTAGACCTAACTTTTGGTCAAAAAAAGGCATTTAATGTACTCTCTCAGTATTTGAGTTTTAGATTTCCACTGATAACAATTTTGAGATAAGCTGAGCATTTGCCAGCCAGATGTATTAAAACAATTCCTTTCATGAGAAAATTGGGGTTTAAAATAAATTTCTTCATTTGATTTCAAGTACCTTAGCTCCTCTCCAGCTTCAAAGAATGTTGAAAGGCGACTAGTGTTATTTTCCATACAAATGCAAGATAAAAAGTTGTAAACTATTTTAAAAATTAAAATAAAGATACATTTATAGATGACTAAAATGAATAACAAGAATCAGCCATTATTCGTTATTGGAGAAGATAGTCCAAAGAGATGCCAAAGTATAATACAAATATATTTAAAAGCTTGATTTAATGACATTAGAATTAGACCACTCCTCTTCTATAAAAATAAGTTTAAAAATGTATATATTTGTTCCTTACTTCAATAACTTTTATAGAAGTTATTTTGTTTTGAAGAAACACATTAAAAACTTACTGACTTTTGGATGACAACATGAAATCACTGAACTAATATTACAAAGAAATAAAGTTTATTGTTATCCTTTGAAATGCAAGGTGTGATGAATTCAAGACACCTTCACCCTTATTTTCTGGAATATTAGATTTTTCCAGCTAAAAAAATATAGAAGTGCCCATTTTAGTAAAAATTATATGGGTAGGGAAATGAGAAAATTTCAATCTTTCTTTCCCTCCTCTGGGGATGTATGATATATCTATCAAAATGGGCTTCTATTTTTCATGACACGCATGGCACAATCTAAGTCCAGTGGAAAGAGGATACTGAAGATCTTTTTGCTTTGATTTCCATACCTTTGGTTGGCACAGGCACATCTTTACCACTATTTTAATTTTTTTCCTGTTTTTGGGACCTCTTATATTGCTGTTCTCATTAGCTTATTCTCTGCCAAAAGGTCATTGGCTCCTTAAATCAGCCACTGGTAGTTACTTTGATACTGCATTTTCTGTCCATAGAAAGGGTTCAGCAGAATATTCCAAATATGTGGTCACAGAAGCACTATCAGTAAAAAATACATACGTGTGTGTGTGTGTCTCTCATGTGCCATTATACATGCTATTGCGTTAATATGTATATTATAAAATCCACACAACATAAAATTTAAAAAAATGTATTATTCCCATAACCCAATGGATCATAATGGCACACTCTGAAGTAAGAACAATCCAACTCTCAAGACTATTTAGAGACATTTTCAGCATGTTCCAAATGACTGTGCCTCATTTCCTTCTATTCTGTCCAATCATCTGATCAATCCTCGTGGCCACTAAATAGGTCATTGAAGATTCATTTTTATTCTTCACTTTCTGTAACAATAACATTTTACTTCTGTCTCTGAAACTGTAGCATTTCCTCCTACAATGACCCTAGTGAGTTGAGAAGGACCTGGGCACCTCCATGCCAGAATTTTAGGAAGAAAAGAGAACTATTTGACGATACCTTCAAAAAATACAAGGTGTCCTCAAATTCGGACCTGAACTGACAACTTTCTCTTGTTGGGAAGCGAGTTTATTTCCTCAGAAGAAATGTGAAGCTCTTTCATCAACAAATTCATTTTAAGAGAGAAGTGATCCAATATGTTAAGCTTCTATTTTGTTCAAGTCAACTTGCCAGAGGTTCTATATATATACTTTCTTTTTTAATATGTCTTTTTGAATGTAAGCTCCTTAGCACCATGTGGCAGGCATGATTGGAAGGTTGGGGTGAGGGGTGGGGAGTTGAGGACTGAAGCCTGGAGAGTTCCAGTGCCTCACTGAGTAGGGAGTGAGTGGCAATGCAGGACTCCACCCCTGTCTGTCTTCAACGCCCAACCACATGTTGTTCCCTCTGGTTCTTGATGCCTGTGTGATTAATTCACAGTCATTAGTGCTCCTGGATGTCTGCCTTCAAGGTATTGTTTCGCATAAGCAGTAAACTAACTCTAAAATAATCAATGCATTTTATGGGCAGCTTTTAGTTTATGTGTCCCCATATCATTTAGCATTAATTATCTCCCAAAAGTTCTCTGTTCTTTATACTTACTTATATGTGTGTTTTTCTCTTAGATATTGATTCTATATCAAGAAGGATATAATGAACGGCCACCTTGAGAGCATTAGATTGGAGTGACGGGGATTAAATCGCTTTCAGCAAATTTTACACTCACATGTAGCACCTTGGAGTCCTGAATACTGCAATAGGCTCTCAGGCTCTGAATAACTGGAGTTAATTGTGTTTTTATATTGACCAAATCATGCTTACTCACTGTCACACCAGGAAACTTCAAAAAGCTGCAAGCAGGCAAATCCTACCATCTATACTTTATATAAAATGGATCTCATAGACTAAGTCTGTGATTAAAGGAAAAATTTTCAGAATCAATAGAAATGTCTAGTTGCATGAGCATAATATAATTTGTGACATTCTCTCAGAGACTTATCAGAAGATAAAAAAGATTATTTAGCTTCAGAATGAGGAAACTAAATAAGATTGAAAAGAGATTTAATAAATCTTCAACTGTAAGGGAAACATTATTATATAGACAACATTCTCAAGCTGTTCTTCATTTCCAGCAATGTTGAAAGAAAAGATTAACTTCAGGATAAGAGATTTAGATTAAGTCTGTGGAAGAATAGCTTGACAGTAATGGTTCCGATTTTAGAAAAAGTCACCGGTATGGTGTGGTTGCATGTGTATGTGTTTCACGAGAGGGAGGTAAATTCCATTTAAGGGAACGATATGAGCAAAAACAGAGAAACAATTTATATGGAAGAGAAGGCAGGTTAGTTCACTTGAGCTGTAGAGCAAGTTGAACCTAGTAGATGATCTCCCTTAGGGAGAGAATTCAGGGAGAAGAGAAAAGGGCCAAGAAAAGAATTTGAGTTAGGAAGGCAAAAGGAGGAAGAGCATCAAAAGGAAGATGCTCAAATTCTATTTAATGAATTCATTCATTCTTTCAACAAATGTTTGTTGAATACCTGCTATGTAACAAACAGTGAAGCTACAGGTGACAAAATATTTCCCACCTCCATGGAGCTTATGGTCTACAGGCAGAAAACATTGATTAAATAATGTTGCAAATAAACATAGAGGTACAACTTAAATAAATGCTGCAAAAGAGAGGAGCTGATGGAGGAAGGCCAGGCTGGGTGGTTAGGGGAAGGGTGGTATGAGACAAGACTGAAGAGGTAGGCATAGACCCACCCTGTTAAGGATTTAGGGAATGGGAAGTCTTTAGAGGGCTTTAAATATGTGGATGACATAAACACAACTGTATTTACAAGAAAAAATCACCAGTAGTCCAGTGTGGAGAACAGATGAGAGAGGGCAAGCTGGATGAGGAAAGGGGAGTTGGGACGCTGTTTCAGGATACCAGGTGACAGATTATGGTAGTTTGGCCTAGAGTTGTGCCAATAAAGACGAAAAGAAGTGAACCAAAAGGGACCTAGTTTGAAAACTAAATGGAGATGTATTGGGGTAGCAATAACAAGACTTGTTGCCAGAATTGACGGAGAGGTTAAGAGAAGGTTGACGCCTAGATGGATATCTGGTTTGTGCAACTGATTGGATTGTGGTGCCATTTAGAGACATGGCAACTGACAGAAAGACAGGCTTCCAGAGGAACATCATGAGTTCAATTTAGGAAATGTTGAGTTTGAGCTGCCTTTGAGCTTTCAAGTAGATGGTTTTATTGGCAGTTGGATACATGACATTGATGGTCTGGGATTAAGATGTAAATACATATATCTCCCATGTGAGAATATAATTAAACTATAGGTATAAATGAGATCACCCAGGGAAAGAGTATGAAATAGAATAAGAAGAGAAGAGGACCTAGGACCTCCCCTTGAGAAACTCCAACAGCTAATAACTGGTTTAGAAGATAATGATCCTGACATTATCTTCAGGGAATTGGTGAGAGTAGGAGGCACAGCGGAAAACTACAGTGTCATACACGCCAAGAGAAGAATATTCAGGAAAAAGAGGGGAGTTGGTTCACAGTGTCAGATTCTGCTGAGAGGCCAAATAAAGTGAAGACCAAAATGTTTGCTGGATCAACGTGGGGTAATGGCAGAGCTTCTTCAGGGGCGCCTTCTCCCATCTGCCCAGGCACGAATAAATGCACCCCCATCTGGGTTCTCACTGAGGTGTGCTTGTTCTTGTTACAGCACCATTTGTATTCGAACTGATAGAGGGTGTGACGTCTCCCTTCCTAGGGAGGGCAAGGGCTGTTTTACACAGTTTGGGTCTCAGAAATTGAGTAGCTCTCTAAAAATGTGAAATGTTAAATAAATATTTGTTGAACATATGAGTAAAACATAAAGAATAGTCAGAGGGGACAAAAAACCTAGAGAGGACAAGGAGTGGCAAGTAACTCAGAGAGTTTGAGCATGAAAAAGACTAACAAATACCACCTTCCACCCTGTCATACATGCGTGTGAGAGGATTGAGCACTCGGCCTGTAACAAGGTCCTCCCTCCAGGACACTCTGCTCAGAACTCTGAGGCGCAGTTATTCAACTGTTATTAATTGGCTTCCTTTTTTTTTTTTAACCCACTTACTCTATTTCTCTCTCTGTGATGTCCTTGCAGATATCAAACGGCTTTGTTAAATGACATTGTTGAGAGCTATCAATCAGAAACCACTTTAGCTACTGAAAAAAAACAAAGGATTTGCCTTCATAAAACCTGAATGAAGTTTGCCCTTGAAATCAGAAGCATAATGAGCATTTAAGTAGGAACAGCAAATAGCCACATGTTCCACATTTAAACTTTAGAAATAGAATGGATTTACCTTTTTCTCCTTCACTGTCAAATGACAATTTCCTTCTTCGCAGTTTACAGTTGTCTCCTTCATAATCATTCATGGACTGCGATCGTAGTAAGAGATCAGCCTTTGTTAATGGAACGTGAAGATAGAATGGAAGTAGATTCAACTTGAACATAACATATTATCAGTAAACGCTCCACTATTTCATATCGTTTCAAACACTTTCAGAGTTAATTATTAGATTTCAGGCAAATAGCTACAATACTTTGTTTAATGGTTGTCTCTAAATTATAAAATAGACTGATAAAATAATACTAGTAGAATCACTGTCTGATGGGGAAATCATAGTTGTAGAAGTTGCTTATCAGAATTGCTTGGGGATGATGTTGTCAATATTTAGAGACAACATATTTCTACATGTAGAATGCATTTTGTGTAACACGGTAAAGTTAAAATAAAAATAATAATAATTTAAAGAACTTTGCAGAATCTGTATTACTACAGAAAAAGGTGTAAACTAATTATAATTAGCCATGATGTTTAAATTACATGGCAATGGTTGCAAGGTTAAATTTCACAACGATAAATATAAGGTTGAATTCAATAAACACTATGCTTTGAACCCTTTATTATTTCTGTTCCAAGTTCCTCTTTCCTCCCCCTCTGTTTCATTCTGTAAAATATTATCAGTCTTGCAAATAAAAATGGAAGCTCCCAAATAAATAAAACAAATGGAAGTTCTTGTTCTGTTTATTTGGTTACCGCCTAAAGTTTTTATGTAAAGAAGTTATGTGAGGTAGATGTCTGTTGTTTTTCCAGCCAAAATCAGAAGGAGCTTATGACATTAAACTGCGGTTTGATAAAGTACTGAATTAAATCATTATACGAAAAACATAAGCTCTTGATAACTTGAACCTCTTACCACCTAAATATTTTTCAATTTTTCAGTGTTTTGAAAAGAAGCTATTATTGGAGCTGGTGCTTCAGGTTATTAAATGGTACACTGGTCATCTTAAAAGTTTCTCTTTCTATTTAAGTCTCTCAGTACCTGGGAATGACTATAACTCCAGGGAGAATTAAATTTACCACCTTTGACCTAACTATTGACTTGAGGATCTTTTTTCCAGAGAGTATATTAGTTAGCATTAAAATACACTGGCAAGTGTCAAAAGTCCAACATTTGATTTCTGACAAAGGAGTCTTTAGAATTTGAGTTGGAGTTACAGGGCTCGAAGTGAAGGGGGTGGAGGAATAACCTAGTGATAAATTGTGGGCTGCAACATATATTCTATGTTCTTAAAACAGTGGTAGGTCATAGGGACACGTTTTCATACTAGAAGAGAATGGGAGATATAAGAGCTGCACTCTCAAAACTCATTCCAGGTTAAATTGTATGTAGAATCACTTAAAATATTATCTCTATTAGAACATATGTTTTTCATTCTGCAAAATTAATTTTGACTCGGGTATAAGCCTTCTGTGAGTTGGAAATTGTGTTAAATATGGACCTAAACACGAATGAGTTTAACTTTTTTATTATTATTAAAAAGACATTGCTAACCAATGTATGATGTAAATAATAGCTGAGAGAAGGTTTTAACCTCTGTATAAGATAAACTCTTTTTGGGGATTTTCAATAGTCTAGAATCACCCATTTCTTACAAATAATTGGCTCACTTAATATAAACCAAGGCTATTTTATATCAAGTATGTCACGTTAGAGTTCCTAAAAGGTCAAATTTAATTCACCTACTTAAAGTTATTCAATATATTTGAAAGTAATTAGACTGAATTTCTTCCCTATAATTTAGAAATTCCAATATTAAATTAACTCTTCCTTCCATATATTCAGAATTGGTAAAGTTTTTCTACAATATTTCACTTGATCTTTCAGAAGTATTTGGGTAATCCCAGAATACAACAAAATATCAGAAGTACAAAAATAAACAATCAGTTAACATATACCTTTGCACTCTCATGCCTGAGGTTGAAAGTCAGCTCTAGGTTTGTGAGAAAGTGATCGGAGAACTCAGGATACATATCCAAAACCTCTAACAAGTCTTCTCTCTGGATCTTATGCAAGTCACAGTATGTGAGAGCTCTTACATCTGCATTAGACTTTCCAGGTTTGGCATAAAGATGAACCATTTCTCCAAATATATCATTTTTTCCTAAAAAAAAAAGGAAAAAAGAAAAAAGGAAGTAAAAGGAATCTGAACTTAATGTGTTCTTTTTAAAAGCAGAAGGGGACAAGTGACCAATCCCTGAACCCAAAGATTTCAAATGTAAGACTCCACAGCCAATAGACACTGGGCAGAAACATTCTCACGTTTATTTGCTGAGTGGAATTTTGCCTCTTGGCTCACTGGCCCTGGTATAATCCTTATTATTTCCTTGTTTTGATTCTTTGGCTAAGCATCTAGAATGCAACAAACACGGCTTTAGTCTACTATGCCCCACATTGCTAGAAAAGGGTTTTGCCATATGGTAGGTATAGTCTGATTTTGTCAGTCCAGGAATATGAGACAAGCTGCAGTGAGTCAGATTCACGAACTTTCTATCTCAGGATGGTCTCTGGAGGTGACGCCCAGCATGAAGTTATGGTGGAGCACTTTCAACACTTACAATTTGCTCAACATATATAGTAACGCTTTTTAACAATATGACCTTTATTATAAAAATGTGTCCTTCTTGCTTTTTTGGCAAATCTGGGGTTATTTCAGTGTCTCCCCTCTGATGGGCCCTTCTCATGCCCTCTGCCTAGCCACAGGCCACCTGCTTTTCCAGGCCTTGTTCAACAATGAGGATGATCATGACAGCAACAATAACAAATGCTTATTGAGGACAAAGCAGGTGCCAGGCACTGGGTCAAATGCTTAGGTGCATTAACTCATTTAATCCCTAAAGTAATCTCATGAAGAAATTACTAATTATTATCCAAATTTTATGAATATGGAAAGAGGATTAAAATGGTAAACTGATTAGGTCAAGGTCACCTTCTTAGTTGAGTGAAGTGAAAGGAGGCAAAGTGTAGCCATGATTAAATGCCATGCATTCTGACTCCAGTCAAAATCTTTACACATCTGATGTATTTAATCTCCTCCCAATATTTTCCCTGCATGTCATGACCAGTTAGATTTTTCTGTCTCTGAATGTCAAGAGTCTTAAAAATAGTATGTTTGGAATATATGCTTAATAACTACTGATAGATTATTGATTATGTAATTTTTAAAAATTGTCAATGGTAGTATAAAATAGTACTTTCTTACATATATCCTGAAGTGTTTTTTCAGATTTAGAAAAAACCCTCTGGATCTGTTAATTTAGTTTTTGGTGACAAGTTCATTTGCACCCGACTATGGAAACTATCAAAGACTTTTCAACAATAAAGTTCTAACTAGTCAAAAAAAAAACAAAACTGTAATGTTCTTATTTTAAATGTGAATAATGCAGAGAAATCAGATACCATATCTTTCCAAGAAAAACTGATATTGGGGAGAATGCATTTACTTTGGTTTAAATAAATACTTAGTTTTCAGAAATTGAATAATCATAATCTGTGAGGATTTTAGGTGCAGATTTACAAGGAAATGAGAACAGAAAAGGAGAATCTCTTATAATTCTTTACCGTTTTGATACTTCCATACAGATATTATCAAAGAAAAGCTCTGAACTAAATTCAGCATGGACTTTGTATTTCAATTAGCTTGCATGACTGTAAATGAGCAAAGAGTAAACCAGTCAGCGTGTACAGCTTAACTACACTCTAAAATTACTATTTCATAAAGCAAGAAGGCTTATTACCTTCCTGTAGAAGCTAGGACTGGCTGATTTGAAGATCGGGAATGCAAGGAAGCATGCTCCTTCCCTGGCAACATACCAGAGCAAACTGTCAAGGCCAAATCTGGTGAAAATCCGACTTTATTGTGTAGTTGCTAAGTGATTTAGAGGATGTTTCAATTCTCTGCCTGCTCATTGGATTGTAAACCAAATTGTGCATAGTATCAATTTTAGAAATTTTTTTTAAAACTGTGATTATAATAAAATCATCAAAATATATAGGAATCATTCAAACATCTTCATTCATGTAGAGTCCTGTGCTATGCCATACTCTGGCTCTACACAGCAGCCAAGAAAACAGACAACGTCCTTGTCCTTTTGAATGTTAACATCAAGAGTTGAGTGAAAGGAAAGCATTGAATTACATGCTCATTGTTTAAATGGACCTGGATTTAATCTACAGGAAAATAAAGAAGTGCCAATGTTCACACACATTGGGGCTGGGTGTTCCCATGAGGAGCCGGAGGCTTAAACCTACTGGCTAGGTGGTAGGAAAGGAGAAGAACTGATCTCGTGTCTCTCTGCTCCCTTGTTGCTCCCCACTGTCCTAATATCCCCGAGAAATCCTACAAATTCACACTGACTAAATTTATTTATTTTTATTTTGAGGAAGATTAGCCCTGAGCTAACATCTGCCAATCCTCCTCTTTTCACTGAGGAAGCCTGGCCCTGAGCTAACATCCGTTCCCATTTTCCTCTACTTTATATGTGGGACGCCTGCCACAGCATGGCTTGACAAGCGGTGCGTATGTCTGCACCTGTGATCTGAACCAGTGAACCCCTGGCTGCTGAAATGGCGCCTGCGAACTTAACTGCTACACCACTGGGTGGCCCAACTAAATTTATTTTTAACAAGATAGCTTGGACAGATGGACTTTTTTTGCACCCAAAGAAGTTCAATTTACTATTAATTTTAATCCCCTCATGGGCTTTATCCCTGGATGTTAAGTTCATAGCTCTATATTACCTAGGTAGGACATATAATTCTGTTTGATGGGACACAGAAAAAGGGCAGGCGTATAGATGAAGTTCATCAAACATAAACCGAGTTCATGATAGGGCACTGGCACGTGCTAGCAAGTAAGCTTACAACGTGTACATTTTATTTAAGGTGTTAAGGGATCAAGCATGAATCCAAGATACTCTATCATGAAATAGAAAATGCTGACTATTTTCATATATTTGGTCTCAAAGGCTTAAGTAGCAGCCAAGAACTGAAGAGAGGCATGGAAGCATTTACACATCAGAGAAAAAGTGAGACAGTTATGAAAACATATTTTCTACAAGGTTAATTTGATTTGAATTGAATTTTAAATAAAGCATTAAAATTACCTATCAGCATTAAATAGCACCCATAAATAAATATGTCAGTCCTTTTTTCTATCATTTTAAACTATGCATTGCACCAGCTAGTAACTGAATATGTCACCATCCAATTCTAAAACACTCACCCAGAATAGCTACCACAATGTCGTCTTTGAGGATTTCGATGGAGCCTCTGGATAAGAAATAAAGTGCAGTGAGGACATCCCCACAGTGAACCAGGGTGTCTCCTGGGGGTGCGTGGGTGGTCTTGAACTTCATTGCCAAAGCTCGAAGGCAACCTTTACTTGCCCCCCGAAAAGCTTTGCAGTTTTGCAGCAAAGTCTGGTTGAGATGTAGACAAATATCAGCTTGTAAACATTCTGGGAAACCCTTTAGGACCTGAAGAAAAAACATAAAGAGTTTCATACTAGCAGGGCACAGGGTACCTCCACCGGAAATAAAGTCTATTTCTTGCTCACAGAACCGCAGGTGTAGTAATTGTCACACAGGAGTTCTTACAATGCTTCTACCTCGCCTACCTCAATGAATACTTGGTTTCTTAAACATGTCAGAATTTTAACTCAAATACTTTTCTCTGAATTAACTGCAGGCATTCAGACTCAACACAAATGCTGTTTCATTAAAATGTAATGCCTACAATGTCTCACACTGCTTCTCATTCCCTGCATTATGTTATGTAGCATCATACTGTGCACAGATATAATGCAATGTGACAATTAATAAGACATAACTAATGAAAGGCAGTACAACTAGAAAGACAACCTTTTTAAGGAATCTCAAGTCAATTTGGATTGCTATCTCTGGTATATATCTTAGTTATAATTGTGTAAAAATAATGATCCTGAAAGAGCTATGGTATTTGTAAATGTCATATACCAGAGAGTGCTCTTAGTTAATGCTACTTGGAATACCTGTGTTTAATATGCACATTATTAATACTAAATATTTTTATAAGTACTGAAAATAGAGAAAGGGAAGGAAAACAGCAAACATACTTTAAAAGTGTAGCTCAGTTTTCAGAAATGGAAATGGTGCCAGAAGTTACAATGCATACATAATTCTTCTACCAACGCTATTGTTTTGACAACTTATTCAGTGACTAATTTTAAACTTGCAAAAAGATTAAACAATAGTTTCTGACAAGTGCTACTCAATTTATACTGAATAAAATATTACGTTATTTTATAAAAGTCCCAGTATACAGTGGATCAGACACTCAATTCTTGCTTCTCTGTACGTGTCTTAGCTATTTTGGGTGTCATATATAGATTTTAATTCTCATGTTGATTTTCCTCTGTCAGTAAAAATAGATCCATTTAAATATGCTGTGGGGTAGAGGGAAGAGGCATTATAGAGTGCCTAATAATGTAATTTTAAGATTTCCTACCTTTTTGGGTCAACCTTGTTATTGCTGTCTAATAAGCTAAAAGTAATCATGAATTATTTTTGTAGATAATCCAAACGTATGTGGTTGGTAGAGAACTTCAAGTTAGATCATATTTGAATTAACTTGCAATTTATTACTATTTTAAGTATTAAAGCAGCCACAGGAATCCTGTTTCTGTAGGATCACTGTGTGATGCAATTGGTCAGACTGACTGTGATATAATACAGAAGGATCAAAGAGAGAACTGAAATACGTAATTCTGATCTTATTTCCTTCATTGCACAGTCACCCACAGAAACGGGTCAAGGGTGTTTTAGAAGAAAACTCACAGAATATGAGTTCTGGTCATGAATTTGCCACAGACTGACACTTGTGCAAGTCACTTTATCCACCTGTGTTTCTTTGCCGGAGAAGAAGAGCATTTACAATGTTGAAATTTGTCCTAGGTTACCAATAAACGGTGTGCCATTTGTCAGACACTGCTCACCCAACTCTACACAGCTGTAGGAACTCAGACTTTTATCCTGAAGTTTCTGTGCTACCTGGCTCAGACCTCAAAGAAATGAGCCTTCCTCTGTTTGAGTTCCTGGGCACTCATCTGAAACCTCTTCCCTTGACGGTAACTCACACACTTCGTCTACATGACCGGACTCCTGCCAGATTTCCTACTTGGACTAAAAAGCCCTCTCCAAATTGGTAGCTTGCCTAGTCTTTGCACAATTTTGCCTTTGGGGGCTGGAGGCTCTTTTCCCACTCTTTGTTGGGATCCTCAACAACCCTGCTCCTCTCATGGAATCAACCCACTAGGTTGCCGGTCCCTTCTACCTGTCTAAACTACCTCCTTGGAATCTTTGGCGGGTGATGCTAGACTGGAGGTAAGCTAGGTTTGGACAGTTTTCTGAAATGGGACCAGTTTACGTGGGGGTGCTATAGTAGGAAAAAAACCCAGTTTACTGGCCTCTTTGCATATGGTTTACTTTTTCTCCCTGAAGCCCACTGTTGCAGTCTCAGCATAACTCTCAGATGTCCTGGTACAGATAAAAAGGTGAAGAGCATTACACCAAGCAACAAATTAGATATACCTATTTTTCTCTTAAGATTTGGCTGTAATAAGGTACAAAAAGGCAGTTTATATTTACGTAAATTGAGGAGATATTGCTACCATTATGGTAGTTTGAATGAGAATATTGAGCTTGTAGCTGTTATTTCTGGTATTTCCCTAAGTTTATCAGTTATACTTTCTGAGTATACCTGGGTTATAGAAGGAAAAATTGTGCATTTGTGTGTGTGTGTGTGCACATGGATGTGTATGCGTGCCTTAAGTTGGAAGATGCAAATGAGATAGAGGCAGGGGCTATTCATTTCTCTGAGTGTGTTATAAGAACTATGGAATCGGACAGGCATGAGCTGAAGTCCCAGTTCCATCACTTACTTGTTGTGACTTTGGTTAAGGCAATGAACTGTTCTTGAGATTCAGTTTCTTCTATTGTAAAAATAAGATCTACCTCACAGGGTCTTCCCACAATTAATTGTGATAATGTATGTAAATCATCCCATGCATTGTAGATTTCAATAGATAGTTTACTTCTGACTTTTTCTGTTTTTTTTTTGTCATACATATTTATTGTTCCTGAAAAACTATCAAGTCCTCTTTAACTAGAAATTGAGAGATACAAATACCCATTGCGTTTTTCTCTTTGGTCTCTTTGGTGAATAGGAAATTCACCGCTAAGTTTTGTGTTCTATTGCCTCAAAAGAGTTTAAAAATTTTTTTTCCCTCTTTTCTCTCTAACTTTTATTTCCTGTTTCTGACTTGTGTTAAATGTTTTGGCTTACTTGCACTTCGATTTTCACTGTGAGTTATCTTAAAACCTTTGGGAAAGTAGGCAGTTACTAAATCAATTTACAAATATGTTCTTGGAATTCCAGTATTCTTAGAACCACTCACAAAATCTTAAAGGACATTTGGGAAAGTTTTTCAACATCTTTCTCTTCTCAAGTGTTCTTGTTAAGTGTTGTCACCTCCTGACATTCATCCTGTTATAGAAGTGACAATGACTAGAAAGAATGACCTCAAGTTGGAGGTACCATAGAGTTGCATGAAGAGGCTTTTGTTTGTACATGAGGAAGATATACAGACCTTGGCATGAAGAACTTGTTTAGATTAAGGAATTCTCCTGTGATGCTAGTCCTTAATTGACTTTCTTAATTTTCTTAAGTCAGTTACATAGATGACTAAGTAAAACTCAATAGAAGTTAATATTCAGTAATTGAATCTCTTACTAGCCCAGAGGTTTGGATGTCCTAAATAAGTTAGCATCTTTGGAATCTGGGTTATGCCTAAGTAAAGGGACTTTAAGAGGGAGTTAAATGAGAAGGCAGCTGTAGTGGAATAGAGGTAGAAGAATATTGAAAAGAGTGGGAAGAAAGGGGTAGGTTTAAGTAGATACGTATCCAAGGCATCACTTTCAAGTGGTCCCAGCTGGGTTGCCATTCTTGCTTCTTGCTCATGGCACTTTTTTTTTTTTTATCAGGTTTGGTTCCTCTGGTAAACTACCTGACTGGGAGCTTCCTCATTTAGCACTCAAATATTGGCTTTTTACTGGACCAAGCAGACCTGGCTACAAATAGCAGCTATGTCAAGTACACAAGCTGGTTTAATGATTGTTATAATCATTTCCACTGCACTCTACACAACCTTCTTGTCTGTCAAGTTCTGAAACTCTGAGGGTACACAGCACCTTTCATTGTGCATCTGGAGCCATTGTTTTATTGAGTTAGTCTGATTTCAAAGACCAATGAACATCACCCAGAATCAGTTTCATGGCCTGTAGCTTGGAAAATGTCATTCTTTTAGCAAATCTTTATTTAGTATCTACTATATATCAGGCGCTATGCTATGCATGGGAGCATAACAACGAATAAACATGGTCTGAAAAAATACCTGGCCCTAAAACCTTTCTAAATGCCCAGATTAAAAAAACTTTTTAAATAGTTTAAACAGAACATCCTACACTTTGCTTTCCATGCCAGATTGGACATTTACAATGTACGTTTATAAGACTAATGGTTGTTCAAATGAACCCTCAAGGTAACAATTAATTTAAGGTGAGTAAATAGCTCTAATTTCACTTTTCTAATATTGACTGTTATGGGACAGAGTTTTAAAACTTCCTGAAGTTCCAGAAAAGTTTTTCAGGGCTGGTAAAAATCCCGTGTCTTCATTACGGTGTAAGACCACTTGAATATTTTATAAATGTAGTATTAACTTCTTTTTACTTGAATTTATGTAGATAAAACTCTCTGGGACTGTCAAATTATGTCAGACAAATGAGACGTTTGTTCTTTTAAGTGAGCCTGAAGTGCTTTCTGTGAATGTTAAAAGAAATCAACCCCATAGCTTAGTGCTAGAGGACCCAAAGTTTAAGGACATTCAAACAAGATCAATCCAACAACTACAAAACAAGATAGCATTATTAAATCAAAGTAAAACTCTTCGAAGAAATCACACAAAGAGAGAACAAAAATGGAAATAACTATTCCATGACAAGCATCTGTCAAACATGATCAGACATTAATTCAGAAGTATTCAACTTTATGTTAAACTTCCCTCAAATATACAAACTTACACACACATAATGGAATAAATATTACAATATTGTTAATATTTGCAATTAGGTAGTATGTGAATTCAGATTTTCTCTATACTGAGCAATCAATATAAATTTTGGAAATGAATGGAACCTGAGTTAGTGTAGGCCTGCAACTTGTGATTTGATGTACGTGTGCTCATCAAAATGACGTTAGTCTCATTAACTTTTTAATAAGTAAATCCTTAAATTTAAACCTATATACTTATGCTAATAAAACAGTTATACCATCTATTTTATATATTGGGACATAAATGAAAAAGAAGTTTGGCCCAGGTGAATGATAGATTACAATTAGAGAAATGTGTCCTGGGCTTCCGTCAGTGGAGTCTGAATGGAGG